TGTAAGGAAGCAAATCTGTTTGGTTAGCGAAAAGCACAAATCTCAAGAATGAAACGACAGACCTTTCGGAAATACCTTTTATAACTAGTTAGTTTTCGCCAACAAACTCTAGGAATAATACAATTTTTATGTGAAATATGCTAGCTCATAACACCCTTATTCCGCCGGTTGGAGGGATGGATTTGGAGGGATCATTGCGGAGGTTTTCTCATTAGAACATATTTCTTGAGCGAGACCGTTCACCTCGCTTACTAGAGGATACCTAGTCGAAGTATTTCTTTGTGAGATGTATACTGTCTTACAGAGTATGGAAGGCTGATTCCTTTCGGTATCTGTAAGGTACTTATGAACGATTTTTTGAGGCAAAAGTTCAAGGTTTCAACTAAGGTAAAAACAAGTATTGACGACTTTTGGGCCCTTGATTGGAGTAATCACTATGATTTTGGTAGACTAAAGCATGATGCGAGCATAAACTGCATGATGCGTCTTGGAGTAAATGTGTCCCATTTGAGCTCACAGACTATAGCTTCAAATGATTTTATTGCAGTTGTGCATTGAAATGTTTGCTTAAAACACCCTTGTTAAAAAAGCAGCAATGGCTGAAAATGCAAGCAAATTTGGGCAACGTCTAGTTTACAGAATCTTGCCAAATTTTTGTGTTTTTCTCCGTTGAAAACAACGCAATTGGATGTCCTCTTGAAAAATGTTGGTGGGCTTACTTGACACAACACGGCATTTAGACAGATTTTATGAAAGGAATACAAATCACTTTTTAGATTGACTGTAATAGTGATCGCGTTTCTTCACCATGGTAATTTTTGCGCCTCATGCGCTCTGCGGCTGATAAAGCCGCGTTCGCGTTTAACCCACTGACGACGATGTGGACCACCGGTGGCCTACGCGCTTTGTGCTGCCACGGACGATGTGGACCCCGGTGGCTCGCACCTCTTGCAAAGTCGTATCATTTGCAAGTCCAGTTTTTTCCACATATCAATATTTTTTCAAATTTTTTGTATTCGTGGGACATGTAGGCTCTGCCGTTCAAGAAAATCTTAATAATCGTTTACAAAACAACGTTGCATTTTGTAAATAAACACGACACCTTCCCGCACTGAAAGTATTGTGCAAAATTGCGTCGTCCCACAGCGCCTCCGGGCAAAATTAGGCGTTGTTGTCAGTGGGTTAAGGATATTGCGCTTTCGTCATGCTGCAGCCTATATGCTATTACTTTTGAGCTACATATGTAGTACTGCAGTGTGTGTGATTACAGACATAAAGTGGAGGCTAGAAATTAGGGCCGACTTGTCTTTTCTAAGCGTCACATCTTCTTGTACTTATGTTAGATGTTGAAGCATGAGAAGTGGTTTGTGAGTATACATCAGAGACTGACATCATAAGCTTAACATCACATTTATTTCAGTGAAGGTTTGCGGCGACCTTTCTAGAGTTACACAATGTAACTCAAATAAGAGAAAACATGTCATGGCAGGTGACAGTTTGGTCCCATGAATGGATCACGACCGTTGCACCAATCTCTCCATGTGTATCGTTCCATGTTCTCGACTATAGTCAATTCTTGAGTCGTAAGTCTCAGCTGAAATACTTTGATACCGCATCTCACAAAATAGTATATAAGGACTAGTTCTGACAAATAGGTCTGTCATTGCATCGCGAACACGACCTATCTGCAGTGCAAATGCAGCAGTACGAAGGAGAGGCATGGCTGGCACATAGCACGCAGGCTATAGTGTGAAATAAAGCATATACCATTTAGACTCGTTTAGGGTTGGGTCGTCTTGGGTTTTTGCGCCATTGTTGCCAGGTCCTCCAACTTAGACATACGACTACCTGCTTTAATAGCGCCATCGTGGGACTCCCGATAAACAAGTGGTTTTTTTTACAACGAACAGGAATGACATGACACCAAATCGACGTGTGTACGTGAATGATGAGTATAGGAAAGGATTAGTGAACTTTTTTGTGTATGCGCCTTTACTCTCATTATGCAAATCTGGACTTCTTCGCCTCTTTGTTGCACCACGGATAATATGAATTCCTACGATTCTCAAAACTTTCGTCGCTACATCTAATGGGTCGTTTCATGAGCTCGCAGAGTTAATCAACGAAATAACAAGATTTCAACAGAATTCAGTCAATAGTGTGTGTTCCGTCGTTGCGAACAATCTTCTGCCACTATGCGAGCAGATTAGTTCCGTTTTATCCGAAACTAAGCAGGTCTGAACCCAAAAAAGTCGTCAGCGCCTGAGAACGTCTTTAGAATCAAAATATACAAAGTTCGTATGATCTGTGTTTGACTGGATTAGATGATACATGCTAAAGCAAGATTTTAGGAGTACATCGAACCTAATTTATCTCTCGGTCAAAATCCTGCGGTTGCCGAAGTGGGGCAAGTTTGTCGTGCAGAAAAGCTCACTGGTCTTGTTTTTTAGGCTTTTTTTGCAGCAGGTATTCGTTTGAATGGTGCAATTGAATGCGTGCGGTTTAGATGACCGTCTTATTATCTAGCAAATTTTCTTTGCAAAACCTCCTGCCCATTCTGCAAAACTCTTATTCAGAAAGCCGCAGTGCAAACTCTTATCCTTCTAAAGCAATCTAATCCTTTCTTGTCTCACATTGACAAGAAAACATAATCGGCAGAAAAATCTACGCAAAACACCTTTTACCATGAAAAAATGAGCGAGAGCCAAAACTGCTTTTTTTGTTTTTCGAAAGATCCTTCTTTGGGAGCTAAGCAGTCCAGGTAGATCAGCTATACTTGAGTATGATGTATGCACACTATGCGATTGTACTCTGTGACTAAAACATGTGACAATGCCCTAAATGCACAGCGACTGCAAATCGAGCGCAGTATGCCGGCATTGGAATCCGCCTTCGCCCGGTACTAGCCTTTATTCACAAACCTGCTTTGCCCTTTGGCTTTTGTAGATCAAGTCCTGCAGATAATGACAAAATCCGGCTACACTTATTATTCCTTTGCATCCTTGTGAGACAGCCTTAATAAATTACAGCTTCAATCTCAAATGCTTACTGCAAGCGGGACATCGAAACTTACGGCCACATTTATTCTCGCATTCCATATCGCCGAAAATTGTCTGTAATATGGACATGCCTGACGACACCAGACGTCACACTTATAGTCACAATAATATGCCGCAGCAGCGCTGAAAAGCAAAAATGCCGCAAACAGCTTCATTACGGAAATTTCTCATCTTTCGTTCTTTTATACAACTAATGTATTTTGGTAAAGTTAAAAGGCCGCTTAGAATGCAGACCTTTTAACTATATTAAAAGCCAAGCAGTATGCAAACATATTTGCATATGAGAAGATAGAGGATAGCAAATGATAGCAAAAACTATTTTTAGCTTCCAATTACATCAACAAAATTGGAAGGCAAAGCTTTTAGGAGAGCACAGATTTGCTAATGGAAGTGGTGAAGTCATAAGTGAAGAATCGCTTATTGATCGAACAAGTTAGCTTCCTGCACATGCTGTTGTTGAGGGCAAGAAGTCGATAATAAATTCTGAACAATTTACGCTGGACTAATTCTGTGGGGAGGGGGGGGGGGGTGGGTGTAATGATTTCTCTGTAAGGAAACTCTTAACAAATCTGAAAGTGATTCCAGGGTTTACCTTCAAATGCAGCGCATTCTACTAAATCATTTATCAGAATAAGTTCCTTTGCTGGCTCCACCTCAAAAGTAAAAACAGCCAAGAGTGCTTTGTACATAAAATTACTCGAAATCGATTATGTTAAATTAGACACCGAGCCTTGCGTGCTTAAAATTCCGTTCTATAGATTAGGCTGGCCAGCTTCCCATAGATCGCCGCTCATTCTACTATCAAAATCAGCACCAAAACGTACCGTGCATATCGGCAGCAAAGCTTGGTCAGTGGAAAAAGACAGTATTTGAAAGAAGATTTGTGTTCAAAGTCAAAAGTGCAAAACCAAAGACTGGTGCTTTTTTCTATTATGTGGACCCATTTCTTTAGAAAAGGAAATTGCTGCTTCTCTTGTGTCATATTTTGTCCCAACTTTAAATTGTTAACCACCAGCCATGTGCCAAAAGAATTTACGTGTCATCTATATGTACACGTATTAGATTTTGTGTTGCCAACGTACAAAAGTTCATTTTTTATCGAGATTTACGCCACGAAAATGAAACATTAACATTAACGTTGACATCAGTCTTGACTAAAACACAGACTATAGAGCGCATGTAAGGAGTGGCTAGATGTCGGATTAAGCGTCGTTGCCTGAGTCTGCGAGGCGGAAACATTGTAGAAATAAAGACCCTTTCAAATCAGTTAAAAGCTATCAAGATGTTTTAACTGACGTTTCCGACGGCTTTACTTCAAAAAATTGGTTCTTTGATTGGGATCACCTAAACAGGAAATGACAAAAAAGATGTCAAACTGAACCGAAAGTGTTAAGTTTTTTCTTGGCAATAATAAATAGACAGTTAAATCAGCAATCCTTTTACAATTAAATCTTACTAATATCTGTATATTAATACACGGAATTCACATAATTAAAGACTCATTGAAAAAAGGGGGTTCGGATAACAGAAAGATTCTCAGTGACCTGAATAAGGGAATAGTTTTCAATGGATGTAGCACGAGGGACAGCGTCATACTCAATTCAAACCAGGCTGTGTTCCCTCCTTTGACGAGGCTACGAATTTGGAATCCGTGGTCGTTGCTGGTTCACGGTCTACAATTGAAGCTGCATTAAATGTTTTCTATCACAGTCGATTTTAGAAATTTAGACAGAACATGCCTAGCTAAGAGCTATTTGAAGAAGCTTGCATAATGAAGTGAATTGAAAAAAGTCGTAGCATTTTCCTGCAGTTGACTATTTATCAAGAGTTTGAATCATCTTTTGATCAATGTTAATTATAAGCCTCAGTCAAACATCTACAGTACTTTTTTAATCGAAAACCAGCCAAGTGGCACAAGAAATCATGACAAGAGCAAGAGCGAGTATACAGCAAAACCTAATAGATATCCATAAGTCTAGAATAAGAATTTATTTTCGTGAAAATTTGCAACAATTTTTGTAGATTCACACAATGTAACTCTAACAATAGAGAACATGTCAAGGCATGTGACAGTTTGGTCCCATAAATCCACGACCGTTGCACCAATCTCTCCATGTGTACTGTTGCATGTTCTGGACTATGGTCAATTCTTGATTCGTAAGTCTTTGCTGAAATACTCCATGCAGTGTCAAAAAACAGTTTAAAGGCTAGTCCTGGATGAAGCCTCGTTTTTCACAATAGGAACAGCGATAGGAGCACAACGGCGCGTTCCTATCGTTGCCGGAGCTTTTATACATATAGTGAAGATCACGGCAAGACCGGAGCATGCAAGTTTTAGTTCTTGTAAAGTAAGGCAGAGAATATACCATTTATGCTTGTTTATGCTCCTGTATGCGTATACATACGTATTCACGGACGTCATCGGTTAGGTAACGAATCTGTTTCAGCACTATCTCCCCACCGTAATTTTGATAAACAAATGGCTTTTAAGCGAACAAAATTACTTGTATGGGTCATAAAAATGCGCAAGGGACTTGTTTATTCCCGTAAACAATTGAACCAATTTTTGACATTTTTTAAAAATTCAAATTAGCCTTGTAAAAATTTTTTTCGGGGGCGTGGACTAGCAAAAATTTTGCGAAGCACACAAAAAAAATTTTTGAGTGCGTGGCTAACGCCACGCACCTTTGTTGGAAAAAATTTTTTGCCGCTCCCACCGGATGGAAATCCTGGAACAGCCAATGCAGGTAATGTGTATGTAAATGGGAGTAGGAACGGTACCAGTGATTTTTTGTGAGTGAAAATTTGTCCTGCGAATGCAGCCGCAAAGAAGGAAAGTCATAACTTTTGCTTCTTCAAATTGATTTTTCCAGAACTATGGTTTAATTTATGCCAAGCCTTTACTCTCTATATCTAAACCGTCCAAGCTTCTTTTCTAGCTGAATTATAGCCACTATTCAATGACCAAGATGCTAATTTGATAATAATAAAGGATTATTATATAATATTGGTGTGGATACTGTCGTTTCTCTCGCCTTTTACTACTTCATTTGCATTTTTTGTTTTTTCTATTCACTCTCATCTATCCATTGTTCGCTGCCATTTTGAATCCATACTTCCGTAACAATATTGGGATAATTTTTTGCAAAACCAAAAAATATTCTTTTTTAGTCTTTTTAACTGCCAGCGCATGCTGTGTCTTGTCATTGTGGTGGTCAACAGTCACGGATGCTTGTTCCGTAAACCCCCTAATATACCTCACGCGACTCCAGACGCCATACAATATGGCATATCCCTATTTGAAACTCGTTGCAAATCTCACTCATATGCAGTCCTGGCTCGAGCGATTAATCAGCTGATAAATTGTCAGAACGTTTGGACAAAATCGTGCGGAGTATTCGGGGGCCATATCGGATTCGCTTTCATTTGGTACCATAATATACCACAAACCTGCTGCGCCTGAAGACTCTTGGCTAGCACGTCGTGTATATGGTTACAGAACTGCCTTAGCTCTAATACATTGCAACTCGATGCGATAGCCTCAATAAATTACATTTTAAGCTTATCTCAAGTGGAACAAAAGAACTTACCCCAACATTTATCCTCGCATTCCATATCGCTGGCATTCTCCTGTAATATGGGCATGCCTGATGACACCAGATGAGGCAATCCAGTCTCACAGGGTTACAAGACTGTGCCGCAGCAGCGCTGAAAAGCAGAAATGCAGCAAGCAGCTTCATTACAAAAAAGAATTCCATTTTATCAGTCTTTTATAGGACTGCTCTGATTATAGAAATAAAAGGTTTCATTTCAAGTGGTGTTGAAACAACAACACTGCATGCAATTATTCTTGCATTTAAGAAGATGGGGGACGACACTTGACCGCAAATTTATACAGTATCGATTCCTTCCAAGCTTTTGCATTTATATTAATTTTATGATGCAGAGCCTCTATAATGGCACCATCTGCTAAAACGGAATACCTTTGAGGTATAGATGCCGGAAGAGCAAAACGAGCTGCGTTGGACTTATCAAGATACTCGCCTACCCTCATTCTCAGTGGTCCTCAAATTGAAAAAAAAATGAGTGGTGTATGAGGTGTTTGAAGAATAAGATCGCACTGCATCGTACCTCGGTAATGTATATATCATGGAAGAAAGTGGTTCGAAGTACCATTTGATAGAGCAAAGCAAGCCCTACAATATGGAGTAAAAACATCCGCGTAAACTTTGTCTTGAGGTCTGAAGCCAAAATATGAAAAATTTTGTCCATAAAATTTTTAGGATTTCCAAGTTGCAAGTCGGATTTCTGTACTCCTCAAGTTAGACTTTCACGTGAACAGCTTGTAAAATTTTTATAAGGCTAGAAAAGAGAAACAACTAGGATAAAAGTAAATATGTCGCGTTTCCCAGATTTTTTGCAGTACAGTTTCCGAGATCTAGCATTTGTATAAAGCCTGAAATTGTATGTACTTTTAAACGTTTATAATAGAATTACATATCTAGGAAAAGCTCCGAGCTTTGCCAAAAAACATGCCAAATTTCGCATTTTCGGTTGTAGCATTGGAAAAACAAATTGTGCATACGGTTTGCTAATGTAGAGAGTGTATATGTGAGCAAGTTGGGGATCTTTAGGATTTTCTGGACGAAGACACGATTTTTTTCAATTTTTCAGGCGCTTAAAGCCTTCTAAAAGTTTTTTCAAACTTATTCAAACTTGTGGATACTTGAGCTTCATCCCCTGAAGTTTGCTTCCTAGCAACCCTTTCATTTTTATTCGAGTTAACCATGCTACGATATAGCGAAGATGCGAGATATTAGGTTGGTCCGAAAGTTCGTTCGCACCATTTTCAAAAAATCATAACTTTCTTCCCTCACAATGATTTTGCGCAATTAGAATTTTATTAGAAAGCGTAAAGCATGTAGTTTCCAATAGTCCCCTGGAGACTTTCCAGCATGTTCGGATTGCAAAGATAATAATGAAAGAACGAAAACATCCGAAATTCGGAATTTTTGAGAAACAATTCCAAAAATCTAGAAACAGCGCGATAAAATCCAGAAAAGCCATTATCCTAATTTTTCTTATATTTGATTACTAACTGGGTTAAGTTTGTGCTGATCGAGCTCTTCTTTCAAAAGTTATGATTTTTTGGAAAAAAAATGCCGAAAATCAATTTCTTAGGAATTCTTAGGAAAGTGATTTTTCGGAATTTTTTTTCAAAAAATCATAACTTTTGAAAGAGAGCTCGATCAGCACAAACTTAACTCAGTTAGTAATCAAATATAAGAAAAATTAGGATAATGGCTTTTCTGGATTTTATCGCGCAGTTTCTAGATTTTTGGAATTGTTTCTCAAAAATTCCGAACTTCGGATGTTTTCGTTCTTTCATTTTTATCTCTCCAATCTGAACATGCTGGAAGGTCTCCAGGGGACTATTGGAAACTACATGCTCTACGCTTTCTAATAAAATTCTAATTGCGCGAAATCATTGTGAGGGAAGGAAGTTATGATTTTTTGAAAGTGGTGCGAACGAACTTTCGGACCAACCTAATAATTTCCCGAACAACCTAATATTAGGTTGGCACATAAGTAATGCAACATTTTATATAACTTTTGTCTAATTGAACATAGCGCATTCATTTTTTGACGTTATAAGGATTATGATGCAAGCTTCTAACGCACACATTTTTGCCGAATTTTACCATCTTATGTGAGAATTACGGTAGGTTTACGGTAATGTGGGAAAAATTTTAGAATGCATTAGATTTTGCTGAAACTTGGCCTTTAGGGCTTATTTGACATGCTGATCACAAAAATGAGATTCGTTTCGCATGAAAAGGCCTCATTCGTGAGATCAAAAGATGAATTTCATTTTAGCGACAAATGAATATGATATTCGTGTTTACCGCATAGGATTACCCTATAGTGCAAAGTTATAGCCAATTCTGACTTTTCGCAGCTTAGTTATTGACAAATTGCCTTCAAAACTTGACGCATTTGACTTATTCAACTTCTCAAAGACGCCCCACCTTAATTTGTGTTTAAATTTCATTTCTTTTTCACTGATTCCAATGTGCCAACTTCCAGCTACATGCTGCCTATAATTGCTTTTTCATATGTTTGAATCAGGTTTCGTAGGGCTTCACGTTTGCCAAAAAATCGTGAAACCTCGATTTTCAGCAGTTTTCAATTGCACTACGTTATCAAAAATCAAACGGGTTGTGCAGACTTGCAGCTTACATCACGATCTACATAATGCCACAAAATGAGATTGCTACATAAAATAGGAAGAAGTTAAGGGAAAAGTTGCAAAACTTATGTGCCAACCTAATATTTTGATAAGGCAAAAGCTCGCGAGCTCTACAAATTTAGTTTTCGGTTTTTTGCTAATAGGGTTCAAAACAGATATCTACGCATACTAGAAAGCAAAGACATTAACAACATCTGTTTTCATTCTTACTACATAATCATCTCCAAATCGATGCTATCTCCTAGCTGCCGGTTCAAGGTGAAACTTATCGAAACTTTGGTCTCTGTCGACCACTACTCACTCTCTTTGCGTAGTCATTTATCGACCAATGCAGTTTGCCGTCCTTGCGTGCGCTCTTCACTCGTTTTTTGCTGATCAAACAGACTTTTAATAGGTGGTAGGTAACTTAGATCCACATTAGCATAAAACTTTGTTGATGAATGTAGTATTGCTGTGAATAGTGAGAGTTTTACATATATTTTGCATGATAATACATTTCTGCAGAATGTGTGTTGTTCAAGTTGTTGATGTTGATGTTCAAGTGTTCAAGAATATTCGCTCAAACTTTGATTTGCCTCTACAGTTCATTTTGTTGAAAGAAATTAATTACGAATAGAGCTCAAAAACTGTCCAGAAAATTCAAGTTTGCACTTTCAAGGGGCACTTATAGACCCGTATTCCCAAACAATTTTTAGAACTTCTCCGTTATTTTTTTTAATGAGGTCGCAATGTAAGTTTTGTTACACCTTCTTCGTCTGCCTTTCAAAAATCGAGAAGCCTCAGTAGAATCACATATTTGGGAAACTTGTGAAAGGACAAAGAGGTATTTCTTAGTAGGATTCAAGTGATAAACATGGATCGCAATATTTATATAGGCAATTTTCTGACTGCACTTCATTTTTCGCTTTTTTCCTTTAAAGATTTCGTCATTCTTCTCCTCTAGGTCTTTAGATTTTTTCAGGAACCATTAGAGATAATACAAAGGCAGTTCGAAATTTCGGGCTCTTCAATAAAGCAAATTGGAAGCTTGACACACGAAAACCGAAAATTTCATAAATTTCAAAAATTAAAGTTTTCGTGAGGGACACGTATAGTACAGTAAAAAGTACAATCCTCTACGCATTTTGAAAGTGTGGAAAAATCTTCTGAAAACTATATAGGCTATTGAAGTGTGACAAAATCCATACTACTATTTACCTATTAGATCACTCTGCTCCCAACCATCCCACTCCTGACTCCTTATTCAGCCACGGTATGCGTGATATCAGCGCTTGTTTATCACTATCACTCCGCATCTGTAAACAAGGTGAATTCGATAGTGGATGTTGATTTCTGACCTCTTCGTCATCTGCAAGTGTGGTATTTACGGGCGATGAGAGCGTTTTACTCCGATCAAGCGCCAAATTGTCTCTCGCGGAACTTTTTTTCTCCAACAATGTGTGGGTGTGGTCTCTTACATTGCACGACTGCTTGTTATCTAATGCAGTTTACTGCAGTTCTTGATGTAGACAAAGAACAAAGACTTGCAAAAAAAATTAACGAATCATTTCCTTGGTGCCTAATATTCTACGAAATCTGAGCCTTAAGGGCCGAGCATAGTTCACGCGCTTTCAGTCGCGACGCGACTTGGCAATATTCCAACTGTCCATAACTCACTGTAAGCACATTTCAAATGTACAGAGGATAGGGCATTTTATCAATCCACGTAAGTTATACGCACTATGCATGTGCGGAATGCTAGTGTTGGATCGGAAGCCTTCTGGCAAAATGCCAAATCGCGTCGCGACTGATATCGCGTGAAGTATGCCCAGCCTTTTAGTAGAGACAAAAAAAAAAGACGAGTGCTGTACCATTCAAGTAACACTATAACCCATTTTCTCATATTCAGAGCAAAATCCTCATTCTGTGTCGCATCTCACTTGGAAAGGCTGATTAGTTGTTTTCATGATACTAGCAATATAGAGGATTGCAGGAGTGTAAAAGCACAATATTCAGCAAGTCATTTGTACCACAACTTGAAAGCTCAAAAAGTTTTGGATAAAAATTTTTTTGAATTCTGCTAAAGAATGTGAGACAGTCGAATAATAATTTGCGTGCTGCACACTATGCGCACTACTTCACAATTTGTAAGATTAGATTCTAAAGTACTGGGGTTTTTTTTTCAATTCTTTCGATTTTGGTTTGATTAAGAATTTATTGTGTAAAGGCTACTCCAGGACGAAGGCGCAGAAGCAGTATTAGTTGAGCGGGCGTGAACTTGGCGCGCGCGTATCTTCGCCTTGTAAACCCTACGTCTCATGTGCTCTCCGGCTAATAAAGCCGCGTTCGCGCCCAAAGATATTGCGCCTTCGTCACGCAATAGCCTATAGTTATACGCATTTCCTCGCTCGTCTACCAGCCTTTACAGTCTAGTGGATTTGATGCTTCTTATGGTCCACCTGCACCAACAAAATCTGCGCTTAAACAGACTCTTTGTTTGTGAACATCGAGAACTTGCTTGCGGCATGCGCTCAGGAAATAATTATTGAGGGCGCACTGCAATTGTTTACGCGCAAATGCTGCCGGTTATGCAAGGACACTTTATTAGGCACTATATAATATGTAGGCGTTCATCGCACGCACAAACTGGACGCTGTTGCGTGATAGTGTGTGCGTAGAATAGACGGCAGACGGCAAGAGGTGTGAAAGAGGCTCGATCAGCGAGACGCCGACATTGTCCGTAGCGATGCCCTGTTTCTGCGTGCGATGAATCGCCGTCACGATATTTAGCACCTAGTTTGGCCTGTATCATGTAGTCTACTAAGCTATTGTTCAGCACCATCCAACAGATTGAATTCACTTCGTTATCTGCCACTATCAATCGTAGGCGTTTCCTGCTGGAGATTGATTCCACCCATTTCTAGGCTTTGCACATCTTGTGAGTGTATAGGGCATTCGAAAATTCGTGACGATGGCGTGACCGCGCGCGACACGCACGCACTCCCCGCCAGCCGCATTTTCTTGGTTTTGATCTCTATCGACTGGTTTTTTCGCTTAGGTATGATAGTACTTGAACACTGGAAGTGACTGAGCTGAGCGCTGAGGGGGCCCTTTTTGTATGAAGGTGTTATGCTCCTGTGAGCGCAAAGACCGCAGTAAAATCCGCTGGCACGATTTTAAAAAAATGAACCTTAACTTTGATAATATAACAGACTAGGAGGCAAAGCACCATATATAGTAGCTAGGCTTTCCTAAACACTTTTTGCGCACTCGTGTATCATCTATTCTATGACTAGGAGACGCGAGACATTGCGGACATTGTTTTAACAAGTCTGAGTTTGTTCTTTCCTGTTTTCAAAAAGTGAATAAACCTGGACGAAATAAAGAACAATTATAAACCTGCTAAGTACATAAGGCTTGTTTAGACAATGTGTGCGATACGGTCTCTGGTCTCCTAGTCATAGAATGAATGATACTTCGCTCAAAAAGTGATTGACCAGACTGATACCGTAATACGCAATGGTAAGAAAACTTTTTTTCCGCGCAAGCTGGAGTGCGCAATTGCACCAACGCTTGTTTGTTTATTCTGCGGTGGACTTTTACTATGTGTGGATCCCCTATACTAACATAACCTAGTCCAAAACCCCATAATTATATTCGTGAATAAGACTGAGTATTCCTTCCAGCTACGCAACATGTTCGTCTATGCCATTTCGGACGCTTTGAAGAAACTGTTCCAGGTGCGCTTGCTGGTTTATTGAGTTGGATATTTTTGGATTTGTTTAGTTTTAGTGTTTGGACTACTTACGAAGAAGTAATCATTTTATAAGTATCTGTCACTCCTTTCCCTCCTCGCTTCCATTTCTCGCCTGCAAATAGATGCACTTTGCACTTTGCTGCAGAAATTCTGCGCGCGGTCCTATCGATCCTCCCTACGCGATGTAAACAGGCTAAGTATCACCCATTCTGTACCTTTTGGTTGATAGCGGTGTTGATCTGTATGATCACTTCATTTTCCGATCACCTTTATCGACTTTCTGATGGGACTGTATGAGAGAGGTCTTGTAGTCCAGCTAAATTATTGCAGGTCGACGCATCAATGAGCAAAACAAATCGAGCTGTAGCTGTTTTGCGAGGAGATCCGGGAGTAACAGGAACTGTTTGGTTCAATCAGGTCAGTAATCTACGAGTGCACTGGATCTGTTTACTGTTTACTAGTTGCACTAATATAGTAGTGCAACTAGTAGCAGTAAACTATAGTAAAGGCACTTTGTCTTGTTATTCATTGGTAGGAAATTTTTACTTGCGTGTTTTCGGGGGATTTTTGCTCTTTTTCATAGATCGAAACGATATAGATAGTATGCTCATCACCTATCATTTATGCTGAGACTAACAAGAAGAGCATGTTTTGACTGGCCTTTCAAGATGTTGTATACAGTACTGGAGGGCGTAGAACGCTAGTTCCAGATATACCTTCCTTATTTGCCAATTTGTGGCGAAGATTTATGAGCGTTCAAACGATCGTTCAATTACGATAAAATCGGCAGTGATTTTTTTTATCTTGTGAATGAAGCTGTGATTATTGTGGCCCTCGACGCAGTGAGTGCTCTAACAAGGGAAGGATACTTGGTCGAAGTGCATTCCTAGGAGATTTATGCTATCTTATAGAGCATGGAACGTTGATTCCGAATCTACTTTCGTTATCTGCAAAGCGCTCCTGGGAGGGGAGTTATAGAAATTTTGTGAAGCAAAAAACCCAGGTTTTGGCTAGGGTAAAAACGAGTTTTGAGGTCTTTCCCGCGCTTGAATGAAGTAAAGTAGCTTAAATTTATTAGGCAGATGGTGTTAACAGCACGGAGCGCCTTGGCAGTAATCATGACTCTATCCGAGTTCAACTATACTTGTGAATGATTATATTGTAGCTGAGCCCTGGAATTGCGACAAAAATTTTCATAACTCCCCTCCCAGGAGCGCTTTGCAGATATTGAAAGTAGATTCGGAATCAGCGTTCCATGCTTTATAAGACAGCATACATCTCATATGGAAACTTCACTTCGACCAAGTATCCTTCCATTGTAAGACTGAACATACCTTCGCACATCGTTGCCTCATTTGAGCTTAAAAAAAGGTTCAAGAGGTAAATTTCCTCTAATTGCGCCTTTGATTTTTTGCACCGAAAAATCCTCATAACTCCGCGCCCAGAAAAGCTCCGCAGATAAGGAAGGCAGATTTGGAATCAACGTTGTAACCCATTCAAGATGGTACACATCTCATTCTGAAAGGTCACTTCAGCTAAAAATCCTTCCACTGTAAGAGTTGCGAGTACGCATTGCACACATTGTCTAGGCGACTTAATTATATGTCAACAAGTTTAAACTTGTAATTTATCTCATTTGTGATTGAGAAGTAACTGGATACAGAGAAGAACGAGTTCAAGCATGTTTATAAATGTTTGCAAAACGTACTTGATTCCCTAGTCTCACAACAGATAATATTTTTTTGTACTATTATTGAAGAATTGGTAATTTTCAGAGATATTGTCTACAATCACCTCCAGTCTTTGTTTGTGTTTCCTTATCAGTATTTTCAGGACAACGAATCCGATCCATGTGTTATCAGGGGTGAAATCAAAGGCATCACTCCCGGTAAACATGGTTTCCACATCCATCAGTACGGAGACGCTACGAACGGATGCACTTCGGCTGGTCCACACTTCAATCCCTTCGGCACGACTCACGGTGGACCTGATGTAAGCGGCTAGCTTTTTGACATTTTTAATTGCCTTTTCTACAAGCGCAATCTCGATAATTGGCACACTTTAATTTTATCTGTTTTTACCAGTCGGGTTTTGAGTAATCGGACGTGGTAATTGTTAAGATCATTAAAGTTTTTTTGGTTTGTTTTGAAACATATTCTAAAACTTGTTCCCATAAATCATTGTCAGATGCAGTACAGTTTTTGTTCAGGATAAAGTTCGTCATGTTGGCGATCTCGGTAACCTTGTGGCCGGTTCGGACGGCACTGTCAAATTTGAACATACTGATCACTTGATCAAAATTCATGGAGAAAACTCGGTAGTTGGTCGTTCCCTTGTTCTTCATGCAGGCGTTGATGATCTTGGCAAGTCAAAACTAATCATGCATTTTTTTTCCTAAAAAATGGAGGTTTGCAGGCAGAGGAGAAGGTCCCGAGAAAGAGGAATCTATGAAAACTGGCAACGCTGGAGCTCGTATTGCTTGCGGTGTGATCGCTCATGCTGCTCCACAGTGACTACAAGGCGCGCATATCTGATTGAAAGGACTGTGCAACCAGCGAGCCATCCGTTATTTACTACGTTACTACCTTTGATTTTACGTGTTCTATTTTATTGAAAAATTATATCCTGAACATTTTTTCATAGATGCTGATGTTGTAATAAATAGTATTAGTTTCGAGAGAAACTGAAAACAGCTCTATAGGTGCTTGTATAGCTAGAAGATCCTACATACAAGAAAAGCACTCTTTTAGGCCCGTATGCACGTACATCTCCCCGCGGGGAGGGGAGGGGATCTGAGAGGGGAAGCGTCATATCTCACTGCTCTAGATATCTTTCTTCTTTCTTCTCTATCGTGTTTATGAGGGTTCTCATACCCTTATACCTGCGCATAATAGATGCCAGGTTACTGCTATACAAGATTAAATATTCACCATTTCTTCCGATCCCCTGGGGATCCCCAGGGGATCATCTCACATTTTCAAAGTCGTTTATCTTCCTGAAAAATGAATGAAACGCTGCAAAATTGTACTGAAGATATAATACGATACTGCTGAGCATGTTCTCGACAGAAGAAATTGAATCTGAAGATTTTGATTTTTTTGATAATCCCTGGCTCGCGAGCAGCGGTTCATCGAAGATTTTGATATCTTGAGATTTCACTCATTTCTACCATAAATATGTTTAGCAGTGCTGTAGTATATCCACAGTACAATTTTAGAACATTTTCATCGAGTTTTCAGAAAGATAAATAACTTTGAAAATGTGAGGTGATCCCCTGGGGATCCCCAAGGGATCAGACGATATACTGAATATCTAATCTTGTACGGCAGTAACCTGGCATCCGTTATGCGCAAGTATCAGTGTATGAGAACCTTCAAAACCTAGACAGAGAAAGAAGAAGAAGGATACATAGACTAGCGAGATATGACGCTTCCCCTCTCAGATCCCCTCCCCTCCCCGCGGGGATGTACGTGCATACGGGCCTTAGTTTTTAGTTGAAGTCCAATGCGGAGTATGAGAGTGCGCATGCTGTCTATGAGCAGCGAGAAAGTCGAGTGAGCTCAGCACGCACCCGGAAGTCATGTTGAGGTTGTGATGATGGGGTTGGATTGGGTGGTAGGTGCGACTGCGAGTCTTTTGCCTTCCAGAGATAACTTTGTCCGTTGAATGAGTTAGCTTGCTGCTTACTGTGTCTCCTTTTTTGAGAAGCAAATTTGCGATCAGCATTCATCACTGTCTTCAGCATAATATCAATTTGCAAAAATAATGCCCGTTTTGCAAATTTTCAATTTGGAAGGCTATAACTTTGTCCAGCCTCCATTTTTTTTGTATGCTGTCAAGACCATCAGCTTTCCAAAGATATGCAGAATCTATATCAAAAATGAAATTTTGAAGGAAAAAAAGCTGTTCGGAAGAAAAAGGACATTTTTTTGTAACAGCCTAATACATCCCACCTCAATCTCAACTAGAAATACTACCTTGATAGATTACTTAGATAGCGCGCTTTTCAACTTCTAGAGACAACGTCGTCTATAAACGTCTTGGTAAGCGGTCACTAATTGGTTCTATTATATGTCAGACCAATGCTGAGCATGGTCTATGCGAGCAACTGTAAGGAGCACCAACTTTCCGCTGTCTTATGGGAAAGGTAGGCGCCAGACAGTGGTGTGCCCAGGATTTCCGTTCGGTGTCGGGGATGACAAATTTCTTCTAATAAATTGACCCAGATAAATTCTTGGTATGCTTCTCAAAATTTTCGCGAGCCCATACCCCCCCCCCAGAATAAAATTTTTTTACAAGGCTGAATTGAATTCAAAAACTTCAAAAATTACTTTGATTATATACAAACTAGCTGGCTTACCCGGCAATTCCATTTCTTAACCGATCCGGACCAAACTTGGCACACATACACTTCGGGCCCCGGCGGGTGTCACAGTCCATTTTTCGTTGCCCCGCGGGGCCTCCAGAAAACGGGGTTTTTGGAAACTTTGTGCGATTTTAGGCCCATACAGTGCTAGAGGTACCCGCCATACTTAGTCCGCTTAATCCACTTGATCCGCTTGATCCGCTTCGTCATTGGTCAAGTCAGAGAACTGACCAATGGTGAAGCGGATCAAGCGGATCAAGTGGATTAAGCGGATCAAGTATGGCGCGTGCCAGACAGGGTCCGACAGGCTTGCAAAATGCAAAAATCTCAGCAACCAAATTTTGGTGAGACACTGCCTTTGGGACGTGGCTAAATCTGCAAGCGGTCGTCCGATAACATTGGATGGTCTGCTGTGGACAGCGATGCAATATTCTACGAGCGCTTGTCGAATATTGGTTGCATGCCATCTAGCATTGGTTATCAGATTTGCGGTCTAGCTCTAAATCTCCAATAACGTCTATATGACTAGACATTTTTTTCCAATCTAGACCCAGTTGCTGAAGAAATTTTTACAAGTGAGATCTCACCTTTCACAAAAAACGCAAGACTGCTGCTACTTACTGCTAGAGAAGAAAAATTCAGACTAAAATATATTATGTCGCCGCGGTCGTATTTTGGCATACGGTACGACAGGAAAAAAAGAATGTATTATACAAAAACATGGCCCCTCACAAAACCGTGACGTGCAATTTTGCATGGAGTCGAGGAGAGGTCGCCAAGCGACTTGTTTTCAGTGGTGAAAATTTAAAATAATTCTCAAAAAATTTCAGCCCTGTAGGAAATATTTTTGGGGGCATGGCTCCCCCAGTCCCTCTTCTCCTAGAATTCTGGGTTTTTAGCCATGGTTTGAGAATCATATAAAGAATTTTCTAGAAGGGCGTGGCTGGCCACGCCCCCTCCCCCCAAAAAAACATTTTTCGCACCGCTAATGGAATAGGGGTGGCTGCCTTGGGAGGCGATGGCATTCGTCGTACACCAAAATATTGTTCCGTTCTGTTCTTGTCCGTAAAAATACGACTACAATAATTTCAGTTAGGCGGCACGCAGGCAAGCAATGCAAATCCTTCTCACTGAATCTTATGAAATACATGGCATCGACTCATGTATCTGCCCTCCCCCCACCTCCCCCAGTGTTTGCCGTAATGTTACCTCGCCATGAACAAGAAAAGATACATGTCAAAGGTCGAAGTGGCGTTTCCATGGGAAATGTGCACACTCTTATAGAGCACGAAACGCTGATTTCGAATCGCTTTCATTAACTGCAAAGCGCTCAGGAGGGGAGGGGGAGGGGGGAGGAGTTATGGAAATTGACGCAAAAAAATTGAACGCGCAGCTACAGTTGGTTCCATCCCGGAATGGGCGGAACATTTCAACTGTTGCAGAGCGTGCGTACCGCTTGAGGCTTCGCGAGCGCCTGGCGTTGGCATTTTGCCAAGCTAAGACCACGGAGAGTGAATAGACGCAGATTTGGGTTCTTACCACAATACGGCGTACTGTAGCTGCGAAACGGCGCGAACCATTGCAACGCGGACGCCTGCCAATTTAATTTCTGCCTAAAGCGGATCGAAACTTACTGTACAATAGAATCATTCAGAAATATAAGCTGAGCTGATGAGAGTTCTTGGATGGGCACTGGCCGGGGCGCTTTCTGCAGTTAACTCTAGTCTAACAGATCTAAGCTACTCAGGTAATCGCCGGGGGTAGGCGGCCATGCGAATTTTGGGCAAGCGGGCACCGGAAAAATAGTTCGCTGATTTCTTGCGGTCCGCTTGCAGAAATTTGGAATAATTTTGGCCAATTTTTAGACGCTCGGAGAACTATCGCGGTCATTCAGTGGAAAGACCGCGATAGTTTTGCATACCGTCGCGGACTTTCCGCGAGAATATGCAAAAATGTTGGGAGCCGCACGGTCCTTTGTGAAGGACCGCACTGCCCAGGGTACCTTTCGCTGAAGGAAGGTATCCCAGACTCGGGTAATTAAACCATCGATGACACCTCTGTCACATAGAGCTTCACCTTTTCTCGGCGTACGCCCGAAACTGCGTAAAAAGAGTCCGAGCGCTTGCTGAAAGTTTGGCCAGCGCTCGCTTAAAGAATCTATTTACCGAGCCTTGCAAAAAATGCTGTATTGCTGCCCGCTGGCAGTATATGCGACCGTAAAGGAAGTGCCGCCCGCTGAAGGTTTGGCCACGCCCCAAAATTCTGCTGACCGCCTGCAGAAAAGCGCGAGTTTGCGGACCGCCTGCCCCCGGCGATTATCTGAGATTGCGCGGCGTCCTCCAAAGGGACAGACTGCCGCCGCACACCTTTGCGCGCACTGTCGTCAACATGCTAACAATGTCAGATAGGGTCATTATGCAAATTAGTAGAACGTTGATGTTTTGCCTACCATCGTATACGTACAGTAAGCATAATAAAGGAGCCTTAAAAGCATACGAGCATTATCTTCGAAATCAGCATGTCAACCAATCCCAGTGACCAACTTTCAGCGAACTGATTTTTCCAAATATCGGGCCAGCTAAGAGAGATGGTCATTTTCGAACGTGTTAACATTGTTGCAAAGGTGACTTGACTACTCTCGAACTTAATACAAAGTACTACTTCTTTGCGTTTGGGAGTCCCACTACATAAAATCCCAAATATAATTGGAGCGTGAAATGTTTCGAGTAGTGGATATCAACCGCAGAACAAACACACACATATTAGTGCGAAAAGCATGTGAATGGCACGAAACATATGAAAACCAGTTTTTATTCTTAAGGTGGCCGGTTGTCTGAGAAATCGCTGCCTTCACTCTTCTTTCTTCTCGCCCTCTGCAGGAGGTGCTGAGCGGCTGCCTTGTCTTGTGAGCAAGCCAGAATTTTGTTTGTTCCATTTTTCACCCTCTATATCAGACTAGAGAAAACCAATCAGAGTCAGATCACTTTTATGAAATCAGGAGGTAAAGGCTGTAGCTCGCAGTAATTTCCATTTGGCTAGGTAAGGAAAAAGATTTTGATTATGGTTCCGTCTGTGTAGAGAAGAAGTTTTAGCAGTAGCAACGATTTAAGAAACGCAGTTGTTCGAATGTTTTGAAAGTGAATATATGGGGGTGAGGCACAATCTCTAAAAAGGTGTGGCAGCCACAGCTTTCTGGGGTTGTGCCACACTCCACTGCCTTATCTCCAAGGAGAACTTTCGCGAACAAAGTATACGGTTTTGATAGCCCAAATATCGTAGTTTCTATGGATGCGATTGGAGTCTAAATCGTCTCCTTTCGTTTGAGCAACAGTTGTTGGAAGCACAACCACTGTAATTGAAAAATGGAACAAATGAGACTTCGCTGGCTTCTAATTCCATAATTTGGTGGTTACACGAAGCAGGATTTATGGTGTGGGCAAATAGGGAGTAGTGCTTTGTACTGAGTACAAAAAGAGGAGGCTACTTCACTTTTGAAATATAGTTGACCATGATGTAAATGAACACTCCACTTGGATGGTTCAACATTGGGAACCTTCAGAATTCGCTGAATCGTGGCCTGCAGAAGGCATTTAACACGATAATCATGAATTTGTTAATTATGCTTGGTAGAGCCTTCATGACATGCCTACGGTTGGCAAACGAGAATGCGGGGGGGGGGGGAGAGGGGTAGGGTTGCAACAGAACTTAGAGGAGAATCATACCCGGTGGTTGTGTGCCACACCTCTTGCTCAACCCTGGTTATATCTCTCCTTTCAAACGCTTTTCTGCTATCAGATATCACCTTACAATTACCTGGAACGATTTTGATAAGTACGGGATTGTTTGAGTGGTGTGGGGCCTTATGGCATCCTGCGTGTGCAATGGCCGCAAACTCACCGACTCTCGCGATCATGCAGAGCCTATATAAGTAGCTTGCGACCTGCGACTACCTATACCCGTTCCTTAGTGGCGGCCGCGGCCCAGCATTTCTGCTCGGGAGGGGGCGTGCCAAAATCTCTAAGTGAAGGTGCATGGCGTCATCTATCAGCCACGCTCCGAAAGTATTCTTGGGATGCTTAATCTTTGCACGCTCGTAACCCCGAAAGCGAAGGGGGCTGGCTTTCGGCAGGCTAATTTGGACTTGCAAAAGATTTCCTTTGTAGTGTAAAAAAGTTACCACATTTTTTTTTGATTTTGTAAATTCCCAAAAAATCGCAGCTCATTCCGGGGAGGGGTGAGGGAGGAGGAGCTCCCCGCCTGTCCGCCGCTTCTACTCATATCTTTTTCATAAAAGGGATGAAAAAGATAAGAGAAGGGATTTGAGGTGCATGGTTCTTCAGCAGTTATGCATGGTTCTTCAGCAGTTACTGCAGCAAGCTCATGAGTAAGTGGGTCACACTTGCAACAACATACGCTTGCACTGTTTTTTTTCTCTGTTATGAATTCTACCATGTGTGATATATTTGACTGCAATATACAATACATAAAATTAGGCAGTATTAACTATTCGATTATCTGTTTTGACGCTGAACCAGCTTATAGTAAATTCCTCTTTTTGCTAGTAAAGTTTGATGCGTTCCTTGCTCGGCAACTTGACCATCAGAACATACGATGATTTGATCGGCATTCTGAAATCGCAGAGTATATTATTAGTCCATCCTCTTTATTTATGATCAAAAACCTGTATTGTCGATAATCGATGAGCAATCATCAAGCATGTTCGCCCTTGTCGTGCCTTGTCTAGAGCTTCTTGCACCAACTAAGCTTGTACATTGTTACGGACTGCCAAACTACTTAATCTTAAAAACCTCACCTTCTCACTCTCGGAGTCCAACGCACTTGTAGCTTCATCCAGAAGTAAAATTTTAGGATCTCTCACGATTGCTCGAGCTATCGCTATTCGTTGCTTTTGACCAATTGAGAGCAGATTTCCCTTATCGCCGATTACTGTGTCATAGCCCTAAATCGTTCTGGTTTAGGGAAAATTCATGTAATATTATCAAGTGTAGCATTCATCTTGATCACATAATCTATCCTTGATTACGGTGCATTTTGTTTTTACGATCATCATAGCAGGAAGACACCTATGGAAGCCAATTTCAGACCACTCTAGAGAGGTCTTATAAGCAAAAAAATTTCATCTGCTGTTCAGTTTCTTTCCGTCAAAAAGTCATGATTTACCTCTTGAGATAGGATTGAGTGCAATGTAGTGATGTCATGCAGAAATCCTTTCAACCAGGGTCAAACGTGCTGATGCGATCCGGGACCCCCATTTACCCCCCCCCCCCCCCTTTGAAGGTACCCATCCGTACGACCCCCTCCTCCACATACCCTCCCTCCCCCCTCCTCCACTTCCTTTTGCGCTAACCTGCATAGACGATTATCTCAGAAGATGCTTGCCAATGGACCTCAATCAAAATTATATGTCAGAGAAAGATAACTACTTACAAATTGGGAGATAATGCAAGTAATGCTTCACCACTCTAAAAACAAATAATTCTACGTAGATTGGGTTAGTAGAAATATTTTACAAATTGGCCATGCTTATCGTGTTTGGGAAAGTATAAATGGAAAGTACATCATCTAACAAAGCAGAACATCGATTTTGATTCAAATGGTATTGAAGCTGTACTCTAAATATAAAAAAATGAAATAAAATCGCAAGAAAAATTCAGCATTACGGAGCGGTTCACTTCAGTCATCATAATTGACTATTTTATAATAACTCCTTGTCTACTGAAGGTTAATAAACTTTTCTGCTGTTTATGAATGTTCGGCATAATCCTTTGATGGTCCAGTTGTACCGAAAGGTATAGACTATGTTTTTGGAAATTAGAACGTTTAGACTTTAATGACAGTCCCATGTTCTCACCCGGTACGGGATGATATTTTTTGCAGGGAGAAAAAAACGATATCTTGCAAACCGTAAAAAGTGTTTTCGATTGAAAAGCTTACTTTCTATCTGTTGCACAGATTCTCCTGCAAAAAAAAAAACCATTTTAGCGCCTTCCAAAACAATGTCAAAAACGTTTATGAGCACGGTACCTTGAAAATTCGTAACTAAGGTCAGGGAAAGACTGAGAAGCTGTAATGAATAGGCTATGTGGTATTATTCTCAGACAATCCAAGGAAAAAGTTTCAAGCTAAGGAGCAGTGAGAATGAAAAAATGAAAATGAAAAAATCTAGATGCGACTCTCGCAAATTTAGATGCAATCCTAAAAAGCAAAAACTGAGATTTTTAAGCTTGAAATTTTGTAACCCCACCGGAGAAATTATGAAACAGCCTAAAATTGTTATGATAGAAAATAGGAGGATGGCCTCGTATTACAGCAAACTTGCAGCTAACAAGCTTCAACAGCTCCGGAGAAATTTATATGCGATTCAGATACGACCTCCCCCCCTTTTTTTCATTTTTTGTTGGCATATATAAAATTTTTAGAAAAATCACAGGCTATGAAATATAACCAGATTTTGCACAACTGTATCAGAGCATCTCCAAAGTGCAGGTAAATTGTATGGCCCTTGAAAGACATAACAGAAAAGTTTCAAAATTTATCGATGGTCATCGCTGGTACAGATCAGCGCTTTTGTCGAGAGTGTGAAACCTTAGTAAAGCCTCGGAACCAGGATTTCTAGGCCAATTGGTACATTTAACATTCTTGTCACACATGCACGCCTAGTGTTTGAGCTTCTAAAAGTATCTTTGGAATCTTTGGTCATACTTGTGGCCAGCCAGTTCGATCCCCGTCTGCGACACCTTTTTTGCAGGGAGAAAAATGCTGTTTTTTGAAGGGTAGAGAATGTTTGCGACTGAGGAGCTTATTTCCTACATTTCACAATTTTTTAATTCGTACCACCCTCTCTTACGACCCCCCCCCCTCACCGCCGGAGCCCCGTGTACGACCTTCCATTGCGACAGTCGCATCACACGCTTGACCCTGCTTTCAACTTATATTCTTGTGCAACACCGAAAGTGAAGCGAGTAGAGTCAGAGTCAGACAAAGATGGAGAAAGTTGTTCTATGAATGTTCAGCTTCAGACATGGCGAATCACAGGTTGCGCTGAGACTTTGAGTGGCTGTTCAACAAGCTTCTTGCGGAAGTAGTACCTTACATTTGTGATCAAACCATCCGTGAAGTTACCATAGGTGTAAGCGTTATCTAAAATGCTAGAAATTCTCTCAGGGAAACCTTTGCGATTACGACATCTACTTGTCAGCACTGTTCTGTTAGATAATAGTGAAGGTTGTTATTGCGTATTCAATGGATTCCAACTTCCCTGCGATGGTTTTAGAACACGGACCTCTTTCTCCCTCTCCTCCTACCTACTGGTGTGTATAAATTTTTTTGCTGCAGATCTTACGTCGCTGCTCCTATGTAGATGAAGCGGTCGCGTTAAGAGCAGTCTAAGGTCAACCTCATCCAGCAAGGGAGAAAATCAACATCTTCAATGCAGAGGGTCTACTAAGACGTCAAGCTGACGAACGTCATTCTGGTATGCAACTGAGAAGTTTAGGCTTGCACTCTGCTACGAATGGATCGGGTGATCGGCGGTGGTAGTGTTGTATGTGGGAAGTTTCTGGCTCATTGACTTTGCATCATTATGTATGAAGCATATAGCTCATTATAGTATCATAGAATACTAAAAAGCTCCTTGTATCACCGACAAAAGCACGAACTGAAAGCTACGCAATTTAACGCATACATGACTTATCCCTAATGCCACCTCTCGGCTTCTTAGAATTTTGCAAAGGAACACTAGAGCACGCGAGTATGAGTTTTGAAGCGTAAAATATTTCACTCTGGAATCATTATTGCGGGACGGGAGTACGGTGCATTCATCATTCAATCATTCATGCACAGATATCATCTTTACACCTCATTGGGGCGTTATGGTAGCTGTTTTCGTAATTAGGACCCAGCTTTTGTCATTTATGGAAGGTGTTTTCCAGATTTGGCTGGGAGGAGACATGTATAGGGCTGTCTCTGATCGTCAAAGTCGCTGACTTCGCGGCCATGGCTCACGCACTATGCCAACAAAACTTCGGCAGTTTTTTTCCTACTGTCAGACGCTCTTCCGTCATCAGATGTTAGCGAAGCATATAAGCGACTTCGAGAGGTGAGGAGGTGACTCTTTTGTTTGTGGCTTACGACCTTGTGGCGTCCTGCGTGGGCAACGTTCGCAGCCGTTACGACTTCCAAGACTTGGCAAGCCTAAATTTTTTGCACTGCTGGGTCTAAAAGTAGAAATGTGCTTATCATTAGCATTTAAGCATTGTTTGGGAATAAATCAGTTCCAAGTCAAAGCTACATCACTTATTTGAAAATGCTATGGCTGCAGTCAGTTGCTCAACTATTTTTTTCTATTACTGGGCTCCAAAAATGGGCAGTTTCGCGCTTCGTGACATCACGTCAAGTTACGTGTTACTCATGAGCAGTTTACGGGATTTTTTTTCGCTTTCGCATGTATCCTCGTCAGACTTATCATGTACCTTCAAGTTACAAGCAGTGAGCGGTGAATTGACCGCACAACTTGATCGGACGATCTTTTGACAGTTCAGCTTGCCCTCTTAAGGAATGGGAGGACAGGAGGTCATAAGTTCAATTTATGAATTTCTTTGAGGGGTAGCTCAGCTACCAGGCTAACAAAGATCTAACTGGCCTGTGTAAACTCAAAGTAAATTGACGAGTGCCAGAAATTAAGTATAAATGGAGTTGAAAACAGAGTACATAGACATTATTGTGTACATAAGCAAGTAATCAAGAAGTATGCAACATGCAGGTATTACAAAGCGTTTGATATTGTATCGCCTACATGCACACTCCCAGTTTTTTCCGGGAATATGGAAGCATTCAGTTTTCTAAAACTTTTCAATTCGAAAGCACTATCTGAACACAACTGATTCGTACTTACCTTTGGTAACGTTACTATGAAATCATGTATATTAGCCAGACGAGCCGCATCTTCCATTTTCGATTGCGTACAGTTGTCCATCCCATATGTGATGTTATCACTGCAATAATTACAGAAATCGAGCAAAGTTTTGCGGTTAACGTCGAGTTGGAAAGGATGGCTACATTGCGCATCAATTTCGCAATCAATCTAAGTTGTGACACTAGCAATTTGTATTTGGACAACGACAATGTTCTGTAAAATTGAAAGCGGGATTTTTGAGATATCGCTATGCATGCTTCTGCAGTGTGGCAACACGATTATGATAGCTAACAATCTGCGCTTTAAATTTCGGGAAGATCGGTCCCGAGAAGTGTTATATCGATGACAGTTAAATCTGTGCTAGTTCGATACAAAATAAGTGGCATTTTCACAAATTTTTGGTTTCTTGTATCATATCTGCATTCGTGGCCATCGTCTTACACAAAAATGAAAATAGATGTAGCAAATTTGTGCTAACATACGAACATCTTGAGTTCAAAAAAGGCCGAATGACCATCGAGACCATAATCATGAGTAGATTTTTGGGAAGAAGTGTCGCGTCTCTCAATCACGTGTGGTCGCTGTGGTTCCTTGGGTGCAAAGAGGAAATTTGTGACAGTAGTCGCGAGTGGGTAGACATGGAAATTTGTGACAGTAGTCACAAGTGGGTAGACATTAGGTCGCCGAAAGAGGGGGTTCCTCGCGGACATTTGCAACAAACCGCGCGTCTTCACCATTACTGCCTTTTGCTATCTGCCCGCGTGGATGGGACCTAATGGCGACCTGATGTCCTCTACCCGCCGCAAGTTTTCACATTAGCCTGTCATTGTGCTCGAATTTCTTCAAAAATCGCTGTAGTGGCTGCCGCTTCTAAAAAGGCCCCAAGTTAGACTGCATTGTTTTTTGTTGTGTGACGGACAATTCACGATAAAGCATGGCGCTTTTGTTAGCCGATTCCGTTTTGAAGCATAGGCAGCTCCTAAAATCATTTTCATCTGATAATGTTTAGAGGGGTGAAGAAAAGGAAATTGAATTCTTACGTTCTGTAATTGAGAGTATATTAACTACCGGAAAAGTGGCAATAGAAGTCATTAAGCTTCATGCTTCTAATCAAAAAAGAACATTGCTATACATAGGTGCAATTAGCTTAACGTTAGAAGTGGAATTTTGGAGAAAAGCATGGATCAGCCTTCGAAGTGTGAAACAAGTAATAGCTATTATTTTTGAAGCAACCCACGGATGGCCATTGTTGACGCAGAAATTTGTTAAACGCTTTGTAAGGAAAATGCATATATACCGTATTGTCATGTTGAACAGCATCGGCTCTTGTCCAACCACGGCCATATTGTCTCTAAGGTGGCGGAGTGAGAGATCGCGTACGTTGTGGTTGTCAACGCACTAAAAAGGCCTGTTACTTTACTGTACATGTGCTACCAGTCGGATCAGTGAAACGCTATTAGGCAATATTGTCATTCTACCTTTCTCAATAACATATAATTAAGTCATTGCTTGAATCACAAACGATTATGCTTACCACTTCACCGCGTTGAACATCATAATAGCGCTCCAATAATTGAACTATTGTGCTTTTTCCGCATCCGCTGACACCAACAAGAGCGATTGTTTGACCAGGTTTTGCACTGAGATTCATGCCATGTAGAACAGGGGCTTCTGGTCTGTTTGGGTATGCAAAATAGACATCGTTCAAAACGATATTACCTTTTATCTCCTATAAAATGTTCCAAATTCATATCGAGAATTTTAACAATCAGGAAATATCAGTACGTACTGGTTTTTTGCCTTCCTTCCACATATTGTTAATCCTTGCTCTTGTTCTCATCATCATAAACATAATACCGGCGGAGATTCTAGCTCGAATGTACTCGGGAAAATATGAAGCAGCCATCATAACGCCAGTCATGTTCAGGGCTTGGCTGACTCTGAAATCACAATGAGCACGACAACTTGTTTATCTAGAGTTAATAGACGACGGCAGCTTGTCTATTCAGAAGTAACAAACCATTGTCAACAGAAAAAGAGGAAAGGGTGCTCTGTCAAACGTGAAAATTCTCTAGAAATAGATTCGAATGTTCAAGGATAGCACTTGAGCAGTGTCTGACATTTCTCGGCTACTCTTCGTACCCTAATATTCGAAGAACGCGTGAGATTTGTTGATTATAAATTCTTCAAAGCGCTTCCATCAGCACGACAATCATTGCATACGATACCTCGCTGTCGTGTTTGTTCAAGAATCAAGCCATGCTTAACTCGACAATTACGACGGTCAACACTAAAATCTGAAGAATTCCATTTGGTAGAATCAATGCTATTGCATGGTAGATAGCGGTATCATCTTGCATGCAAAGCTGAATGGCGCTTGCGCATCTATATATATATGTAAAGACAAAACCATTTACAGATAGTACGAACTCCTTTTTCGCGATGCACCTTACGAGTCCTTAGAAACAAATGTTTGGTAGAAGCGAAATGTGTATGTTCTAAATGATTTCTATTTATGCTGGTCCGGGCCGAACTTCGCGTGCATACATTTCGGGTGAATGTAACTCAGTTTTAGTTCCTGATCGATAGATTTATAGATTTATTTACAGAAAACTCAAGCTGGGGAGTAGGGATTTGGCTTGCTCGAAAATAAATAAGCAAAGTGTGCAGATTACTGTTGTGAACCCATCAAAATGTCTTTTTTTGTTAATAATTTTTCTTGAAAGCTTCTAGCTGGAGTTATGATAAGGAGCTGACATGCTCAGCAACCTTTTTTTTGAGTGGTTGAGTAAATTTTGTGAGTCGACGTCGTATTCTTTCTCTTCTATAACATTTTTCCGTTTTGTTTAGTTTTTTGTTACCTTGTTAGTCGTTCACATCCCCTTTATTTGTGTTCGCCGTTTCATAAGATTATTTTGTTTTTATAGAGTAGGTATATAGATCATGAAAACACTCACTCAAATACTCTGAAAGGCGTACTCCATCCGTTTCTAATCAAATAAACTCCGTAAGTGAATGTTATGGCGAAGTTCACGGTAAAAAAGCAATTCGCCACTCCAAAGTTGAGCGACTGCCAAAGGCCTGAAAAAATGAGAATGAGTGTTTTTTTTGTGAATAAGGCAGCAAATGAGTTTCGGTTTGCTTTATGTCGTGGAATTAGTAGTCGTTTCCCGTGATTATTCTGGGCATGCCCTGCAGACCGCAAATGATCTTCACATTCCTCCTTGTGTCATATGCTACTGTCGAAAGTCATTTGCTCATGCAAGCAAACAGCATGATGCTAAGTCAAGGCGTAGATTTGTCCAGTACAGTACAGTCTGGCACATCAAAACTTCTAATAGAAGTATATAGACCCATCGACGCGTGCGTAGTCTTTGTAAACGCAAAAATGCAAAGTCACTTTCAGCAATCATTACTCTAATATCGTTTACTCTTGAAGTTAGAGGAATCTTGACGAAGCCGCTTTGACCCCTCGCTAGCGTTGTGTAGGGTAGATCATCGATTATCGACCCGCATGCTGAGCCCCAGTCATGCGATAAACAGCACCGGCTGCAGGTTGGGCCGCTGCAACTACTCTGCAGAGGAACAGTCATCAAGCGTACAACGTCTCTATGAATTTTTTAAGAGATTTGATTTTTAATGTAGCTGCTGTTACACGTTCTATATAATCTCGCATCGAACGCGACGTGCGTCAGCTCTGCTACGTAAGGTCTCGCACTTGTGTCAAATACGATGATAAAGCTCTCACCCCTATCCCTGCACAACCTTTCCCTGGGACTTCTACATGCAAATCCCTATTCCCCTGTGTTAGTTATCAGCATGCTCACTTGCCCCCTAGGCTGCTTTTGTTATCGATATCGATCGATAACAAAAGTAGCCTATGACACCCGCCCCGCTCCGAACTGTATTTGTGCCAAGCTTGGTCCGGGGTTCAGAAATAAAAATTTCTATTTGGAACATACGTAAAACATACAGACATACAGATATACAAACAAACATTCAACTTTATATATAAAATTGCCGTCTTCAGTAAAAGGAGACCAGGTTTGATTTTGTGAATATGCATTCGTCATCGTCCAGACCAGACTTTTCTATTCTTGCTAAATTCTTTCCTGCGGAAATGTGTAAACATTGATACAATGTTGTTTAGTTGAATAATCAGACTTCCTTTCAATTTTTGATCACTTTGGGATAGGAAGTTTCAAGAGTGGGTTTTTTAGCGAATGGTGTTGCTACGATTGTTTCCAGAAATGCAGTCATGCACTGAGTGAGAAAAAGCAGCAGCAGCTGGCTTTTCTTTTCCAGACAAATGCATCATTTATTGTACGAGTTTTATTATGCCATTAGCCTTGACTCTCATTCTGAACCTCAGTGTAGGGTGTCAACCGGATACCGGCCTGAAATTGCAAGAAAACAAAGCCATTGACAATCTGACGCAACCATGGTGACATTTTAGAGCCAAAGCATTCGAAAATCCTCTATGTTATAACTCTGTACCACTTATTCTCTTCCTTTTTCACTCCAAGTCCAGTTCGACATGGAAGCTTACTTCTGCAATCACCTGGTCAGTTATCCCTTGATTTTGAGGTCGGAAATAGCCGAAATACCCTTTACTGGAAATGACCCCGCTCCACCTTTCGCTCCTATGGCTCTGCGACAAAATGTTGGGTTGCCAACATATCTCGCTCTCTCAAATTGCCTTTTAAGCAAATGAATGAGAAGTTATGTTGTAGTCGGCGAAGTTTGAAGTAAAACTTTGTGGATCAAACCATCACGACTCTTGTCCAAGCTCGACCGTCGCTCAATCTCGGCATTGTTTGATTGCTTTTTGAGACTGCTTGAGCTGTGCACCGAGATTAGTAACTTCTTTATTGACTGACGTTTCGGCAATATCGCCTTCTTCAGAGTCTGAAATTGTCGAATGCATAGGTAATCTATCCTGCCAAAAACCGTATCAAGACTCAGAAAAGATGTCCAATGCGTCAGAAAACCAAGAGCTACAAAAGTAAATGCAGAATTAAACTAGTGCTCACCTAAACAGCTGATGACTGCTTGGTGACCAAGCAGTCATCAGCTGTTCAGGTGAGCACTAGTTTAATTCTGCATTTACTTTTGTAGCTCTTGTTTTCTGACGCATTGGACATCTTTTCTGAGTCTTGATACGGTTTTTGGCAGGATAGATTACCTATGCATTCGACAATTTCAGACTCTGAAGAAGGCGATATTGCCGAAACGTCAGTCAATAAAGAAGTTACTAATCTCGGTGCACAGCTCAAGCAGTCTCAAAAAGCCATCACGACTCTGTCAAAACAACATTTTTGACGCTCACCTCTAATCAGTGCCCTTTTGTAGGGTTCTTTTGAAGCAGCAGTGTATCTTCTGAACATGTAGTCCTCTCTGCATAGCGCTTGTATTGCTTTTGTATTTGAAATCGACTCAGCAATAATCTGACCAATGAAAGAATTGAACCATAAAATGTAGTCGTGTACAGTATGTATATTGTATATTGCATATTTGTGTTAAATACTTGTATGTAACAAGAAGTACGGAAAATATGTTAACGCAGAACGTACTCTGTTAGCTGTTATTGCTGAGTCAACATCCTCTTCTCCTTTGATTTTGAGGTACCTCTCCAAACTCGTCTGAGCGATTGCTAAACAGCATGACTTAAGCTTTATTTTTATTAATCCTTGCCAAAGTTTGTATCACCCTGTGTATCACTGGGAGGGGGGAGGGAGGTACTAGGTGAGGCTCTGGGCATCTCTCTACATCTCTCTCGCAAGCGTGTTGTCTAACCATTTTCAGGCTTGATTAGCGATCGTAGCTTCATTCTCCACCGCCACTGCCAATGATTTAGAGAGCACCTCTTTGGTGCTCTGATGCATGGTTAGTGAGAAGAAATTCCGAGAAGATGGAAATTTATGTCATTTTACATCCATACATTTTGAGCTCCAAATAAGTCCATTTTTGGGGTCGAGATCGATGTTTCGGCAAACTTGCTCACATCATAGCTCAAAGTGATGCAAAAGAAACTAAAATAACTTTTTTGAACGGTAATGGGGCGCAAAAAGTCTAGTTTCCGTTTATGGTGCAGCCTCATCACCTAAAGTAATGAATCTGTACCTGATGTCACTGATTTGAAATGCAACAGTCTTCGTTGCTAATCCCATTCTCTGCTTTCAAAACAATTAACTTTGAAAGCCCACTTTGCTTTTAAAGGCAATGTCCGGGCAAAAAATCGATCATGAGATTTTTTGCTTACCCGGGCCTATTCGCTATGCTGAATCCAAAAATCCACACCTGAGAGCGCGAAATGACAAAGAGCTCTAACGCAGGAAGGAAGTCAGAAATGGGAAGGGTCCTCCCCACTGTGAATTCACAATCCTAGCTACCGGAGCGATCTTCTCAATTCCGCCAGCTGCCCTGACATCTCCACGAGCCAAATGCGAATGCGTGACTTGAAATCGGAACCGAGAAGATTGCTCCGAAATCCGGAACCGTGAATTCACAGTAAGGAGGACCCCGCCCACTTCTGATTTCCGCCCTGCGTTAGAGCCCCTTTTCGCCGTTTTTGCGATCTCCAGTGTGGATTTTCGGATCCAGCATAGCGAATAAGCCCGGATAAGCACAAAACCTTAAAATCGACTTTTTGCCGGGACACTGGTAACCATGCATGTAATCTTTTATTATCAAGAGCTCATTGTGTAAGATAGGTGTCATCCTGTCTTTTGACATACTTATGCCTGATGTGGGTACTGTAGAGTGCGCAAATTATTTTAGGTACTTCCGCCATTCTAGAACATTTGTTTCTCATGTCACGCTAGCCGCCTGCAATGAGATACTATGCCCATCTTGAAGTGCTGCCTCCACCTAGATTGCAAAGCTCTTTTTGCAAAAGTACAGGCATGTCCCATGAATTGCATCTACATATTTATAGTTTATTTTATTGATTGCAGCTAAATAAAGTTGTAGGTTTTCATATATTTCTTTCTGATTTTTTATTTATTGCGCTCAATACGAAGCATTACCAAAACTTTCACACACAACTAGGTCACTCATTCGGTCAAAACACTTGTAACACCATTTGAGCTGTACTAAGCCCCTGTATTTTGACTGAAAGACAAGTTTTGACAGAAGTGGAAGGTAAAGTTCAAAGCAGAGTTTGTAGCGAAAGGAAAAGGCTAGAGTTTTCCATTTTTTGCCATTATATGGGAAAAGAAAGATTGTATGACCTGATTTACAGTATGATGCTGGCGATTAATGCAGTTGAATGTAACCAACTATCTCATTTAGGCCCTGTTTACACTTAAACAGCAGAGCATTAGCTTGGTTAGAGGCAGTGTCCGGGCTGGTTGATTTTGAGATTTCGTGCTTACCTGGGCCTATTCGCTATGCCAAATTCAGAGAACCACATCGAGCGCGAAAAAGGCCAAAAAGCTTGAGGCAGGAGGAAAATCAGCGGCTGGGTGGGGTCTTCCACCCTATGGAGTCATTCTCCCTGCTTGTGGAGCCCCTTTTCGGTTTCAGCAAGTCAGATGTTGGCCCTTGGGACGATGCTAATGTGGCTGGCGAGCAAGAACATCGTTCCGAAAGCAGGCTGGCAACGTGAAGAATGGAAGACCCCTCCCTTCCGCTTGACAGTGTGAATTTTCGGAGTCAGGATAGCGGATAGGACAAGGCAGGGCTTGGCATGAGCTGGCAGGAGGAGAATTTTACATTTTACGAAGCCCCGTTTGAATATCGCCAAATTTCACGAAGTTTCCTTTGACCCTAGACCCTAAACGTAAAAAAAAACTCAAAAAACGACCAACTAAAGAAACGTCGCAATTGTGTTTTTTCGGCCACAAAAACTATATCCCCTTTGCATTGTCCCAAAATCAAAATCCAGCTTGACCCTATGTCACCTGGGCCGGTCTCTGGGCTCAGGTAAGAAAAATCTCACTTTCGGCTTCTTGCCTGGGCCTTTGAATACTGAAAAATTGAGAAGGTTTACCTAGCATAAGTCCAATGACTATGCCGCAAAGCGCAACATTCCAGCCGTAGTAAAAAGACACGATAAGGCCGCCTATTAGCGAACAAACTCCTTGTAATACTGTGGCAAATCTGTGGTCGATGGCCTAAATATGCAAGGAGGAGACGCATTCAGCTGTCCTGTGCTATACCCTTAACTTACACGTATGTACTTACTACTTGAACGTTTGGCGCATCTACAGATAATCGTGAAGTCAGCACTCCTACATCGTGCTTTGGATCATCGAAGTACGTTGCATCCTGACTCATGAGATTCTGAAAAGCATAGAGTTTTGGCATAGTTGGCTGTATGAAATTGGCCAGAAACTGTAGAATGAGTCGTTATAAGCTAAACTTCGATTTCTTTAGATTGGCTCATAACTAGAGTAGCTCACCTACCTTGAAGACATCCATTCTCAAACGCATCGCCACTCTCTCTCCTACAACCCCAAAAAGGTAGCCGGAGTAGTGCGTAGTTACTCCTGTTGCAATAGCTAACAAAAGCAATAAGAAGGAATTGATGATGCTATCGTGTGCCATGATTGCTGGATCAGGGGTTGACAGCAGCTCAAGTTGAAGGAGTTAATCTACCACAAAAAAGTCTAGGACTTACTAAAAACAGTCTGCCGTAAATGACCGAAAAAATTGGCCACGAATATCCACGAATTATTGTTATGATAAATGCCCCAAAGGCCATCGGAAGTTCCTATATGCACTGAGATGATTGCAAAGCAGTAGATTTTCTAATTTTGGAGGTTTTTAGGAACATATGCTTACCGGCTTCGCATACAAGAGAATATCGCGGAATGATGCTTTCGTGGTTTCTTCCACCAAAACTTTGTATGGAAAACTCGAGCTGGAACAAATAAAAAATTTTGAAATTGATGAGAGTTTGGTTTGCGTTAGTATAGTGGCAATTCTAGAGAAAAAAACACTTTTAGATGTTTTTCACGTGCATTCCACGACCGCTGGTCCTAGCTGGTCCTTGAATTTGGAAGTGTTTGCATTTTTTGCAGCGCTTTGGTTTGGGTCATTGTTTTCGTAACGTCCTGCTTTTTAAAAGTTCTTCTGGGTTTGTCCGCATTATATTTAACCTGTTGATTCTGTACGAGTGTACTTTTCAAAGCGCAATTCAGAAAGGGAATACTCATAACAACTTTACATATTCACCCGGAGTAGGCGCCTGAAAAGAGATATCGAAAATGGCATAGACAATGTCACCACTGAATTTAAATTTCTACTCCTGATAATGTAGTCTTCAAACCCTTATAAACTATCTCACTGACTTTGCATCGCGGTGAAAGGATTTCCTCATCGATACGTGTACGGGTTTTTGGCGCAAAGCTGATGGAGACTCTTTTCTGAGCCTCACATTCACACCAGGTTCGACTTCGATGTCGCATACGCTGTCGTCTACACTGTTCGCTTCTGCTGTAATCCGTCGCAAAAAAACTTTTCAATATGCTGTATATGATCTCTCACCATCAGTCATCGTGTTTCCTTTTTCGTTGGCCAAATTTTGGGCTTTCACCATGTTGCTGTACACTCCGTTATTGATAGCCAACAGCTCTTCGTGAGTTCCTCAGAATACACACGGTATGGACTATAACTTCAAAAGCGCTTTACCTGCTTCCACTATGCACCCTCGATCAAAAACCAAGATTTTGTCAGCATTTTTTACAGTAGAAAGCCTATGAACGATGCAAATTGTAGTACGGTTTTTTCTATCCTGAAAATTTTGACCATAATCATGAACGAGCAATCCGAGCAGAGGCTGAACCTAACGTCTTCGAGTGCCTCTTGTACCGCATGCTCGCTTTCCGAATCTAGCGCGCTTGTTGCCTCATCTAGTACCAAAATTTGTGGTTTTCGAACTAACACGCGAGCGATGGCGATTCGTTGTTTTTGGCCGCCGGAGAGCTGCACAGCACCTGCACCAATGAGGGTGTCGAATCCCTGAAAGGAGGCACTGATTTTGAGTTGCAAGTAATCTTTACGAATAAAGCTGAATGTCTGTTTGTCTGTCTGTATGTATGCACCTATGTATGATCCGAATAGAACTTTCAATCTAAACCGACCCGGACCAAACTTGGCATACTCTTGGGGAGGGGGGGGGAGGGGTGTCGTAGGCAACTTTTCGTCATTGATCACTACGTAATATATAACGAATTCGTTGTTTACCCATTAAGCCGCACGATAGTTGGATCATGGCAAACGAGGAGGCCGCAGACGTAAAAATTATGATGGAATACACTAATCTTTGGAATTGGATTGCTGCCAAGTGGCATGCGTTTTGGAACGCTGCCAAATTTTATAACGAGTGACCAAGCATATTTTCGTAAAAGGGTTACACGTATTTCGAAAGGCAAGCATGAGTATCGCAATGATTTTTATCGAGAATGGGTCGCCGTGTCCGGGTGTGTTATTTGTAGCTGCTTTTTTTTTTCAAGCATGTTATCCCAGAAAGTGTCTTTCAAATATGTTGTACTCTTATTAGTTGCTTTTGAAATGATGCAAAATTGCGTAACAGCGTGACTTGAGCTAAATTCATCTAAGTTCCCAACCCTTAGTAAAAATGCTCTGACTAATTGTAAGAACAGTCATTTTAGAATTGTCTTGCTTCCACGTGTAGACAAGAGAGTGCGTGAGTAACTTGGTCTCGCTGGTACTTTTGGAAACGTTTATCTAATAACAGCCTTCCTTTTGCTTGTTAATGGGTCCCGCTGGTGCTTTCAACTAGGAATCGGTGTGTAAGCGGCACGTAGGGCATTTGCATCGGGCAGGGAAACAGATTTTTGTACGCTTGGGGCAGTTCTCATATTTTTAAATGGTCTTTAAGCGGCACAAAGGGCAACTCGATCGGGCGAAACAGATTTTTGTACGTTTGGGGCAGTTCTTATAATTTTTAAATGGTCTTTAAGCGGCACGTAGGGCAACTCGATCGGGCAGGGAAACAGATTTTTGTACGTTTGGGGCAGTTCTCATATTTTTTAAATGATCTTTAAGCGGCACGTAGGGCAACTCGATCGGGCAGGGAAACGGATTTTTGTACGTTTGGGGCAGTTCTTATATTTTTTAAATGGTCTTCAAGCGGCACGTAGGGCAACTCGATCGGGCAGGGAAACAGATTTTTCTACGTTTGGGGCAGTTCTCATATTTTTTAAAATGGTTTTCAAGCGGCACGTAGGGCAATTTAATTGGACAGAGAAACAAATTTTTGGTGCGTTCATGCAATTCTTATAATTGAGGGTCTTTAGGTGGCTCAGTAGTCGTGCTTTTCGGGGAGGGATCTCCTTTTGTAGTAAAACTTCATATTCCTTTGGCGAAAATATTGAAGGATTTTCTGACAAAGTTCTTAAACGATTGATGTCGTTGCTGTTGGAGTTGATTTCGAGAGAAAAGTGTTTTTTGTAGTACACCTAATTGTTATGGGTGTATTTCTACTTCCAAAACCATAGGTGTTCTTCTACTTCCTTAACGATCTTTTATGGAAATTGTTAAGAAGAACTGGAAGAGCAAATTCTCTTTGAGAGGGTAGAAAAGTAGGAGGGGGGGGGGGTATCTGAATGTCTCTGTGAGGAGGGGAAATTTGCAGAAAGAACGTGGTAAACGAGAGAAAAATAATATTTCCCATGCATGGTGCAGCAGAAATTTCGAAAAATGCTGAATGATTTGTGGGGATTATTGCTTCTTCGAACATCTCCTTTTGTAGAATGCTTTTCGCAAAAATGTTCTCGGAAAGGCATAGGAAAATTATCTAGAAAAATATATAATCACAACTAAGCCCCTATACTGTATCTGCCCCTACCCACTTGCTAGCGACCCGTAGGGTGGCTAGTCGCTGATTACGAAAATATTATTAACAGGACCTGGCAAACCGAGTTTTTCAGCCAGTTGGACATAAAGTAAGCGACCTTCTCAGCGTACTTAGACATTAACACTTTGAAATACGCTGTGCTCACAAAGATAAATTCATTTTTCTTATTGTTATTTCGCACGTAACAGTCATCAGCAAACAATTATGGTGAGGTTCGCATGTAAGTAGAGATTGACTCGCAATAAATTCTAAATTGTTAGGTAACTCAGTTGGCAAAATAGATAATACAGTAAATCTTAATTATAGTGTTGACGTTTACTTATCTCTGCATGTTTCCGTCTTGTTATCATACATATAGCATTGAAGGACAGATAATTGGTCGCATGAAAAACTGAGAGTCTACTATTTGCATCTATAAAACTCACAACGAGCTAGTTTGCTATGAGTCGCAAACGTACTGTATAGACCAAGAAAAAAGTAGGTTACTGATTTATATTGCGAACATAGCTATAAGCTTGCTGCTTAAAAAAATGTAGTTGATATACAGGGTGTCCCAAAAAAATGTATCGAACGTTTGATCGTTAATATCTCTCTTCTAAAAAAGTCTTTTCTCTTGCTTCAGGTGCCAATCTGTAGAGCTGGCTTCAACTTAGATTTGCATCATAGAACGAATCCCTCATTTCTCTTCATTACTGTAGGATTACGGTAGAAACTTCAAAGAGGGTTTTAAGCAATGAAAGGCCATATTTTGCCTCAGAAAGGAAACAAAACAGCCTGCAAGCTTTTACACTAGGCTAATTAGAGTTGGTGATTATGACTGTAAAGTTCCCAACTTATTATGATGCTTCATTGAAGAGTTATGCCAGGTAAGAGGTAGCGGCCTTTTTTCAATGTTCTTGAAAAGTGCGGTTACACCGTTTAGAAAGCTTCGTAATCTTGTGAATAGTTGAGTATTGAACTCAGCGTCCATAAAAACCCTATTACACAAGTTTAATTTTTTGAAAAATTTTGAAACGACAGCTTTTTCCACATTGACACCATATGTTTTAAGTTTCTACCGTAATCTTACAATAATGAAGAGAAATGAGGGATTCGTTCTATAATGCAAATCTAAGTTGAAGCCAGCTCTACAAAATGGTACCTGAAGCAAGGCAAAAGACTTCTTAGGAAGAGAGATATTAACGATCAAACGTTTGATACATTTTTTGGGACACCCTGTATGTGTCTGATGTAATGTAAATAAGTTATTGTGCGAATTGACTGATTTCATTTGGTTTGTTTGACGCAAGGCTCTCCTTCGCGACAAAGGCACGATATTACGACTTTTTATGCGTATTGAACTATTAGGAAGTCTCATAATTGTTTTTCGTTTTTATTACAGCCTCGTCTTTTTGTCTCTTTCCCTTAAATGATGTGGCTTAAGCAACTGTTCGAAGAGCAAGCAATTCTACAAGTTCGCTATCAATAGTCTGCCATTCGTATTCCACATGAAGTTTTGAGCTGAAATATGATAGCAGTCAAAACCGAACTTTACCGTAAAAAATCGTATCTCGGCCCCAAAAAACCCCTTATGCTTGACATATCGAACTTCAATTGTACACTTTTTGTATTTTTTACATGGCTAGGAATAAGGAAAAAATGAGTGGAGTAAAGGCAATTTCCGCCCCTAGAAGTCCTGAACTCCTCCCACCGACATTATCATGTAGCTATACATACAGGTAAGGTAGGGTATAGGTCACAGGTATACAGTAGGGTATAGGTATACAGTAAGGTCATGTATTTGTACCCTTTGTAGGTGCCACAGTTTTCACGAAATGCTGATGTTTAGGGTAGAAACGGTAAAAAATCATGAGACATCCTATTAGTTCCTAGCTCTGTTTGCTGTTTTTGAGTGCTTTGAAGAAAAAATCTTAGAACGAATTTTTTTTGTTTACAAACAATCTGACTGCTTCAGAAATAGCGAAAGTTTGAGAGAAAATATTCTACAAAAAGCGTTGTATCAGGATTCTTTTCACAATTGCAGGAATGAAAAAGCAGATTTTCAACCTTCGAACATACCTTCAAACAACAGCCTTCAAACCTCAAATTGAGCGCTATGCTGGAACTGTTCCCGGATTTTGGGAGTTCAGTATGAACGCAGCCGCTAACGACGCTTTCGCGAGTCTTGACACTGGTTAAGATGATCTACTAATTGGCTTCATAACTCCGCTTAGGCTTTCTTATATGAACAGATGGGCATGAGTAACCTGAGCCAGCTTTCGAAAGTCATGGTGTTTTGAACCAAGAAGTTTGCGTGTATGAAATTAGGCGGGCTCTCCTTATGAAGCATGGATCTCATAATCTCATTAACAACAAGATAAGCTCGTTGATATCTATGAGATTGTAGATCCTCAAACTGAGAGAATATTTTGAGCAGAAATTTTTGTGCTGCAAGTTTGCAAGAAGAATCACTGTTGAGGAGTTAATAGAAAAGCGCAATTGGATCGTCATAGATGTATTCAACTGATTTATTTTTTATGTGTCGCACCATCCAGAGTGTGCCATATAAACAACGATGTTTGACTGAGGAGAGTTAGGTGTTTTTCTGTCTTTGGAGGTATGCTGCAGAAGAGGATGCAAAAATGCATCATCACGCGGCAGACCTCGTATTCTCCCGTAACGAGGTCTGCCGCTCTTGTTAATCTTCTCCAATCCTTTCCCTCCAAAGCCTGCTCTTCACTTATACCCAGGGAGATCTCTGATATCTGTTTTGACCTTATCCAGCCATCTCATTTTAGGTCTTCCTCTTGGTCTTTTTCCTGGCACTTCCACTGACATGGCCAGTCCCGATGTGGTGTCCTTCTCCTCGCGTCACGTGTCCATACCACCGTAGACGTCATTCTTGCATCTTCTTCGGTGTCACTTTTATTATGCTTCATATGGTATCACTCGGAACGCAGTCTAGCATCGTCACTCTTGTGGTCCACCTCAGCATCCGTGTTTCTATTAGAATGATTGTCCTCTCTTCGTCACTTGTACACGGCCAGCATTCGCTTCCGTATAGCGCCGTTGGTCGAACTATTGATATATCAGGGACTTCGGCTTGCTTGGTATCCGCTTGTTGCATGAGACTTCTGTGATACTTCCCCACTTCATCCACGCTGCGTTCCCTCTACTATTTATTTCAATGCGGAGACTGCCATTTGCGAAAATACGGCCAGTCACCCGGCATCTTCTGGATTCAGTTATCTAATCGGGAAGCTATGTAAGCCAAGTAATTCCAGCTTGTCCGCACCCCTTTCAAAACACGCAGAGAATGTCGTCCGGACCTACTCCTTTCCGTTCTTCGTTTTCGTTATGGCCTACGCATACTTCCTTTTCTTAATGTTTACTACCGGTCATTGTACCGTCCCAGCTACTATAGCAGTCTTTTCGTAACTTGTAAATGCTATTTCCTCGAATTGTGCTCTCCATCGTTCGCGCAACCTCCGTAGATTTCTCAGAATTCTTCCGCATTCGTCTTGAAGTTGTAAAAGCGAGATGTGTCTTCTGTGGCTTTTGCTCTTCTTCTTGTGATTCGATATATATCTTTGCCTTCTCGAGTGTCATCTTCTGTAGAAGTCTGCCAAGTACGCTTTGTTCGCTTCTCTTACGCTCTTCTTTGCTGCACGCTTTGCATCAACAAATTTTTGATGAACGTCTTCTAATCTTGTCTCCTGTCACAGCTGGTATGCAGTTTCTTTCTTTCAATCACGGCCTGAACGTCCTCATTCCATTACCAAGTTCCTTTGTCTAGCCTTGGTCTTCCTGGCTTCGTAGGTCCCCGTAGATTTCCTGCTATCTGATGACTTTCTTCTGCAAATTCGTCAGGGACGCTCTATCTCGTCTTCTAGAAGTGGTGAAGCTGACTCCATAGTAGCTATATCGAGCTTCGTCTTTGAGTTTCCACTTGATGCGTGTACGTGTACCGCCCTCCTTCCTTGCCTTTATTCGACTCTTGTCCGGGGTTATTCAAGTTGAGAATCAATGCCAGATGTTATGGTACGCACTCTTCACTAGTAATCATTAACGGTCATTTTTCTTTATCAACGTTTTGATCCTTTTAAAGCAATTCATCTCGTCAATCCCATGAGAGTTTTCTTTCAAAACTTACTTGGCTAAGCTTCTTGATAAAGCTGAGAGCATTGGCTAATCTACAAGCCTCTTCTATGTCCTTGTAGGTCAACGAGTTGTCTCCCATTCTAAGCAATGCTGTTGATTTTATAAAAGTTTGAATATTTCTAGTACCGAATATTGTCAGCTACAGTAGCCGCAAATATGACAGGTTCTTGCTGTACAACACCAATAATGTTTCGTAACCATTTGATATTGTAGTCACGAAGCGGAACATTGTCAAGGTATATCTGCAACCATTGTTTAAGTTTCTAAAGTAATTGCATTTTGCTTGATCACCTGACCGCCATTTTGTTCGTAGTAGCGCAACAGTAACGAAACCATTGTCGTTTTACCGCATCCGGAGTGCCCCACCAAAGCGATTGTTTCTCCCCTTTTCACCTCAATCGAGTATCTGTTTGAACATAACGAAAGGGAGATTAGTAAAACTCACTTCGAAGCTCACATTTTTCAACGCTTGTACTGATGGTCTTGTCGGATAAGAGAAATACACGTTTTTCAAAGCAATGTGTCCATCAGCCTTGTGTGGTGTCAACCTATCTACTTGTGTGCATTCGATTTTTGGAGCCTAAAGCTAAATCTTTTTTCACTAGTAATAAATTGTCATAGGTTGCTTAGCTCACCCTGTCAATGATTGCGAAAATATCAGCAAGAGCTAGCTTTGCACGGATGATTGCTCCCATTTGAGAATTGCTTTCTCCTAATCTTCGCGTGCCGACTTGTACGGCCCAAAAAACACCGAAAATGGAACCCGGTGTCATAGTTCCCTCAAGTACCAGTTTTGTCCCATACCTTAAGAATGCGTATGCAATTTTCCTGACTAAAAGATTGATTTCAAGACCAGAAACAAACGGCCGTTGCGAAGAACAGTAGAGAAAGCGGGAGTGCAGTGCACATAGCAAGAATTCTAGCTTTCTCTATGCCAAGCTTCTGAGCTTTGTGCAACTCCTTCTCGTAGCTAAAAAGAAGGATGAGGTGATTAATGTCATACACAGAAGAAAGCAAGCAATTGCTAGCATAGTGCCTAATAAATTCTAGCAACTGTCTCGAAGTAGGAATATTTTCATTTTAATATTGTAGCAACGTCAATTTGCTTGCTCAACTAGCTTTTATACTGCTACTGCTGTCACTCTCTCGGCATCAATTTTGGATCAGAGCTTACTTACTGATACTAGCAAACAATAAGGATAGCATACCGTTTAATTTCCTCGAATTGACCATTGAAGGCCATGACAGTACGTATACCAGCAATCACTTCAGTGGCCAACGCATCAGCATTGGAATACGCATCCACTTCCAGTCTTGAGGCTTTTGAGAGTTGCTGCAACGCTATCGATTTAGAGAATGAGAAATGAAACTTTGAAACTTACACTGGCGGATATGACCGTTGCTAAGAGCAGTAAAGGTACCGTGAGTAAAGTCACTAGAGTCATCTGCCAACTGAAATATGCTAATTGCGGTATTTTATAGTAATGAAATCGCACTTCTGCTGCACATGGTGCAGCACCCTGCTTTGAAGGATCTTTTTAACGTTCACAGGAGGTTTGCTTTTTGTCCAAGGTTATCAAGTCAAAGGCCTAGGCTTCTACTTTTCAAATAACCTTGTAGAGCTGTGCGGCCGACATTTGTTTAGGAGATATGAGGACAAATCGAACAACAGTTGCAACGAATTGCGGCAACGCGAACGACGCGTGCGACGTCGCAACTTTTCTTTGCTTCAAATTCAATGAGAAAAACCGTGGTTTCAACAATGATGTGTATCGTGTACAACATAGATACTTTTGGATACAAATAGAAACTGAGTTCTTGTTTCTATCTTTCAAGAAAGCACAGAATTCCTTCTCAAGCGACAAAATTAAACACTTCGAATTCACTCAGAACTTTAAGTATCGATCTTATCTGACATGCTGATTACAAATGTAGCAACAGTCTGGAAAATAAGGTCCCTTTGTTGGCTAATGGCTAAAAGTACCTTCTTTTTCGCCGCGCGCGATTTCGCGGTCCGAAACGTGTTAACTTCTTGCTTACTGGCTGCCACTGTTGCTTCCCATCTATCCCCGCGCTCTCCCAGTATCACGTAAGTACTCTCATGTTAGCAATAACCTCTTGCATTCGCATTGCGACCCTTTCTGCTTAGTCACTGAACCGGCATATTCGTAAGTGTTGAGTATTGCTGTGCCAAAAAGATTGTCGGATGGTTCTTTATTCGTCAACACTCTTCGGCCTTACGCTTTGAAGCTTCTGTCTCCACCGGAGACCAGGAAATCACCGCCGCGTCGTCAGATATTGGTACCGGATGTAGATGTTCGTGAGGGACGTTTACAACATCTAACATCTACATCCAGTACGAAACCAAACGGTGGTTCCCTGGCCTTTGGTGAAAACAAAGGCGTCAAAGCGTAATTGCGAAGAGTTTTGAAGAACAAAGAACCATCTAATGACCTGTTCGGCACAACAAATTCGACATTTACATTACGATGACTTTTGAAAATTTCATCTCTGTTTGAGCCCAGGATCGCACACACAACTGAGATATGCCGGAAGAATTTATACCAGAAAAAAGCTTCGAGAACCTGGAGGACCTTGTCGAGAAGTTTGAACCTCTTTTCTATTATGCGATTTGTCGAATTTCTAAAGAAGATAGATGCTTTGAGACTATCGCTCTTTGCAAGCTCATTTTCAATGCAGTCCCTAACATGTTATAGGATTACGAGGATGCAAATAAATAAGCAGAAGTGGAGGTGAACGTACCTCATGTAAAGACCGAGTGAAACTCCACTAACAAATGCTCCTACACCAGAAAATACCAAACCGAGCTTGTCACCCACTCCATCTCTGATCCGTTCAATTCCACTATAAGTAAGAAACTACTGCATTTCCGTGATGAGCCTGGGATTCTTGAGAAGTACCTGCTTATTTTCCCCGTCAATGCACCTGCTTGCTGCATATCAAACCATGCCATGTCCTGACTCATTACTGCTTGCAGATATTTTTCACGAATACATTTTATTCTTCGTTCACATAAGATGTATAGAGAGGCATTCTAAAACCAATACTTTTTGTGAAACAGTTCCTAACAAGAAATTAAGACCCACTGAAAAATATCCAATCGCAAGAAGAGCTAGACCCAGTTTCAGATATAAGTCGCAATGGTGTAACATATCAGCAGTAAAGTTATCCATATTCAGCTCTCCATGCGTGTAGTTCCGTTCACCAGATATCAGAGTATCGCAAATTCCTGTAATTACTCTTCCTTCCAAGATATACACAATACTCGGCCGACTCTTTCGATCTATACCACGAGCTTGATTGAAAGCTTGGTTTTTCTTCAAACTTTACTTAAACTTAGTTCCTTTGAAAATTAAACTAGACCCTCTTTCCTTACTGGAAAGTCCCGGAGAGGGTCTAGATCTTAAACCGTCTAAAAAAAGGGCGAAACGGAAATAAACATGTATAAAAATGTTTTTTTATAATAAGCATCTTCAATGTTTTCATTTCTACTGAGATGCCCGAAAAATAATGTTGCATCGTGTTTTATCATGTAATATCGCGGTAAGGTGAAAACTTAATGGAGTAAGTGGGGTATCAACCGATAGACCAAAGCAAGCACTACAAAATAAAGCTCAAAAATTCCACCAAGTTTGATTGCAAAGTTTGGAGCTAAATCTCAAAAGTTTGGAGGCCCAAAAATTTGAAAAGAAGTCATATTTCTCAATTCCTTACTGCGACATACTTGAAGAGAGAGCACTTCCTCTCCTTCCAAGTATGTCCACCTGATTTTCAAAGAAAAGCATGGCCCTCAAGGATTACATGATCACCAAGGAAATTTATGCAAGACTGATCAAGAGAATGCCGAATGTCTTGCTCATTATTTTGTATCGGTTTTCCAGAAACCGACAAACTCTAGACCTAGCCTTCCTATTGGTCTAACCAATCAGAAACAAAGTTCCTCATACCTTTCACAAGTTCCTCAAGTCCATCCTTTTGATTTTATGAACATTTTGAGAAGACTAAAACCATCGACCTTCATTACTGCTGATGGAATTCCCCAAATTGTTTGCAAAAAATGTGCCACTCAGATAGCAGCTCCTGTTTCAATACTTGTCAACATGTCTTTGAGCAGTGGTGAATTACCCAGAGTATGGAAGCACGGAAGAGTGGTACCAATTCCTAAAGTTTAGAACCCACAAAAGGCCTCGGAGTTTCGGCCCATGAGCATTAACTCTGTGGTCTGCAAAGTTGCTGAGAAGATTGTGAGAAGAAAACTGCTGTCATTCTGCGTGCGAAAGCATCTCATACCATCTGAACAGTTTGGAGGAATCTTCCACTACTCTTCAACTGATTACTTGTGATTTTTACTGGAAAAGAGCCTTGGCACAAGATTGATTAACTGATGTTCTTTATTTTGACTTGTCCAAGGCTTTTGACAGAGTAGACATCCACAAATTAATTGAGAAACTATATTCAGTTGGAATTCGTGGAGATATGCTAAAATGGCACACATCTTATCTGACTGAGAGAACACTCTCGGTACGCGTCAACTCAGCCATCTCTTCTATCTTCTCAGCAACCAGCGGAGTACCTCAGGGTGGTGTCTTATCCCCTATCCTTTTTAATATCTACACAAGTGATTTACCCGGCCTTTTATCACTTGATTGGAGAATCAAAGTCATGGCATATGCAGATGATATAAAAGTTTTTGCTTCATACTCTGATGAGGACAAAGTCGAAGTAACTGATGCCTTGAGTGCTTGCCTTCAGAAAATCTTATCGTGGGCAGACTTGAACTGCATTGATGTCAACTTGCGTAAAAGTGTGTGCTTGACCATCACCAAAAGGCAGGTGCAAGAGAACACACTTAAAGAGTACACGCACTCCAGTACATGTCTGGCTAGGCCCGTGCTTGTAAGAGATCTTGGAATATTGATGGACCATAAGCTCCTGTTAAGATTTCATATTGAGAATATTTCGCGTGCAGCCTTACACAGAGTATTCCTTTTATTACGGAACTTGAAGCATGTAGACTTGAGAGTATACATCAAGCTGTATATGGCCTATGTTCTCCCTTCATTAGAGTATGCTTGCCAAGTCTGGAATCCTCACTTAAAAAAGAGATTCTAACCGTGGAGAAAGTCCAAATGGTTTTCACCCGTGTACTGTATTACAGATTTTTTCCAAGCGGGGATTACCCGTATACCCTTCCCTCCTATAGATGTAGGCTGGACCACTTGAAGTTGCATAGCTTGCTGTATCGAAGGGTTTTGGCTGACTTAGTGCTTGCCTTCTAAATAATTCGCCTTGAAACAAAAATTGTTCCTAGTAAATTCTGGGTTTGGCGACCGTGCAACGGCCGAACAGGTGGGATTAGCTTCCCCTGCATAGACTCTACTATTCCAAATACACTCTTCTACAACTCATTTTTCGCACGCACTTCTCGATGGTTACAAAAGCTTCCTGACGCAGTTCTCTCTGCTCCTAATTCAACTTCTTTCGGAAAAAAAACTTCTTAATTGTGACTTTTTGAGATTGCTGGGAATAGGTGAATCCGAGTATTTTAAGATGAAGCTTCTCCTTATGTCCTTTGCTTTTTTTCTTACATTTTAAATTCTACTCTTGGCTCTGGCTCCTTTTTTTTTCAGAGTGTTGACTTGCTCAGATTAATGCTGGCTATTCTCTTCCCTGTATTTTCCACTGCTCCATGGACTTCACTTGGGAAGTTGATCGCCTTTTTAACTCAGTTATGTTGTCTCGTCTGTTTTGATTTCAGAGGCCTTCCATGGCTGCCTGTACAATTCAGTCGATACAACTTTGCTGAACTTCGGTGCACGTTCCCTTTGCCTAAATCGACTATCCTTGTTGTTTTGTTTTCAGTTTTTCGTTGTATGGGTTATAGTATAGCATACATTCGTATGACCCATTTTGTTCCATCAGTTATTTTTTTTCATTGTTGTTTTGCTGGCATGCTCCTGACCTCAGAGGCTCTCTTACTATATACGCAGCTTAGTGTTTGTCTTCTAGATTTGACATCGTCGTCTTCGTGTAGCTTTATATGTCTGTCTCTTATCCTTGATCATTGTATCCAAGTCCGATGTTAGCGTTGTTGGGGTAAGCCGAACGAGGTTTCCTGCCCGCCGGGTACGCATGATTTCGCTCATTCGCCCGGGTGCTCATCCCTCTTTCTTCGCTCGAAAGTGACCGTATATTTCTATACCGTCACGCATCGTACTTGGACAGTACTTATACCAAGTTTAGCCCCCACGACACTGACTTTGAAGACAACACTGACGAGCACCTGGTTTAGGGAATTACTCTCCTCAATTCCTCTAGGGTGTTGAACATGTCACAATTTCGTTTCATTACTGTCTTTGTCTGTCGTTGCATTCGTGTCTTTGTACTGGCGCACTGTGCACAACAGTGTATTAATAAATAAATATATCCCTCAAAAATCTCTAAGAACCCCCAACTTGCTCAGGCACACACTCCCTACAACAGGTACACTCGCATACACAGTTTGTTGGTTTTCCCATGGTTAGATATTGAGAAAAAATTTGGCATAATTTGGACAAAACAATCCTGAACCAATCGGGTAGTTCTGTATATAACCCTTTGGATGTACAGTCGATGTGAACCAAGTGCCTCTTTATCCGTAGCAGCTCGCACCGCAAGGGCCTAGCTCGGCGACTCCGTTCGATGAGGCGAGTGTTGAATGCAAAGCTATAATCTAGGCGCGAAGTTTTGCAGTTTCGATTTGGCCGGTGGAATAGGGAGCCAAGCTTGACACGGACTGTATAAACATAGAATCTCAGCTTTCTCCAAGGTCTAGTTTTCGAGAAAAGTCGAATTTTTGCAAATAGGCGAAAACCAACATATCTGTTTAGCCTGTGTCATTCACGTGTTTAGTCGTGGGAAAATTCTAAAAACTTTGCATGTGTATATCTGGTACACAGAGTACACGTTTACGCAAAATCGAGATGCCTAAGACATATATGGATGAAGGTACCATTTTTCGAATATTTGAATTTTTTTATATCGTGGATTGAGCTTCAGATGGAAAAAAACTTTCGTGGAGATTTGTATTCCAACTTGTAAAGGTTGATTTGTTCTATCAAATCACTCAATTGCGGTAGTATGCAATGCGATATCATGTTCCGGGCAACCTAATAATTTGCTATGCAGGTACACAGGGTCCACAAATATTAGGGTGATGCAAAAATAATGAGCGTTTTGCAAATTTTCACTTTGACTTGCTATAACTTTCGAAAAGAACTATATTTTCAAACGGTGTAGAGACCGTCAGGAGCAGCTAGTCTTTTGCAGCAGAGGGCACAATAAGCTATACTCAGAAGAATATGAATCAAAAAACAAAAAAGTTTTTTTTCTGAAACCTCATTTTTGACAAATCATAACTCCTTCCAAAGTTTGGTACTATGATTGAAGAGTAGCTTATTTCGTAGATAAGCCAGAAGTGTAAACGAGGATGGAAAGGGCTTGGATAGAAAAGTTTTGCGAAAAGAAAAGAAATCAGCAAATTGTCAAATTTTTTCAACAACTTTCCGGTAGCCTCAAAGTCCCAAATTAGAAAATTTTCTAAATTTCTGCGTACTGAAAGTCAAGAGAATCTCGTAAAACTGTCAACAGGATGGCCTGCCCTTACGCTTACAGAAATGAGCAAAACGTTGGCAGTTGCTTTTTTCAAAGCCACGCCGACCGAGCCAGGTATGTCAGCAAGATTTGAAACTGCTCAGATAATCGCCGGGGGCAGGCGGTCCGCAAACTCGCGCTTTTCTGCAGGCGGTCAGCAGAATTTTGGGGCGTGACCAAACCTTCAGCGGGCGGTACTTCCGCGTTCTGCCAGCGGGCAGCAATACAGAATTTTCTGCAAGCGCTCTTCAGATAATGGCCCGTAGTAAACTACCGTCAGGGCATCTCCCCTGAGGCGGACCGGAGTTGATATCTTGGCGCCTCAGTCCAGCATCCGGCGGGCTATTGATCTGGATGCAGATCGCTTCCTGGACATTATAATCAAGTGCTTTCTTGAAAAAAGAACCACTTGAGCTGGTTTGGTTAAATGGGTAAGCCATTGGAATTACACGCGCGCGGCCGTGGTTCAATTCCGCCTAGCGACGCAACTTTTGCTGCATCTCCGGGCAATCTTTGATAGCGGCCACTATCCAATCGATGATGACCGCTATCAAGGATTTCGCCTAGCAAACGTAAAGATAAAACAAAAAAACATTTCGTTACGAAAATTTTGCGACAAAACGAAATGGTTGCAACGTGAATTTAATAAAATGAACAGCTGAGTCCTCGTTTTGGACAGCTTTAAAAAAAACCAGTTAAGTTTACAAAAAGAGAAGAATTTGTTTTTTTCTGTCTTACTCGCCAAAATCAGCTGTTCATCGATCCTCTCCTTTTCGGGCGCGGTTGTGCAACTTTGCGCCGATTTTGTCCGCAGTGTTAGGCAAATTGCTGTGTATCGTAAGTTACTCAGGAGCAACTTACGAAGATTTTCTCTGCGTTTCCTCTTTAGCACACTATTTCTGGACATCATCGCTCATATCATCTCCCATGACCCGGCAGGGAGATCATCTCCCTGCCGAACTTCACCTGAGGCTCACCAGGTGAAGTTGTATCCCTATAGCACGGGGAAATGGGCGGTCGTCATTTTACTGACAGAACCTCACATGAAGGTCTCAGGGGAGATAATCTCCCATGACCGAGCTTTACTACGGGCCAATATCTTCCAGCGAGCGCTGCCAAACTTTCAGCAAGCGCTCGGACTCTTTTTAGGTATTTTCGGGCGTACGTCGAGCGCAGGTAAGACTCTGTGTGGCAGAGGTGTCACCGTTGGTTTAATTACTCAAGTTTGAGGTACTTTCTCTCAGCGGAAAGTGCCTGGGGGTTGCGCGGTCCTCCACGAAGGAACGTGCGGCCCTCGAAATTTTTGCATATTCTCGCGGAAAGTCCGCGAGAATGCGGCCACTGCGCCGCAGCTAATCCATAAAGAAACCGCGATTGTTCTTCAAGCATTCGTCTTTAATTTTGCCAACTTTCTTCCAAATTTCTGCAAGCGGGCCGCAAAAAATCAACGAACTATTTTTCCGGTGCGCGCCTGCTCAAAATTCGCATGGCCGCCTGCCCCCGGCGGTTATCTGAGTGGTTGCCTTAGATATTTGAATATATTATTAAAATATTTAATTATTTGATAAATTTATGCAAATTTTTGGCCAAATGAATGAATCAGTTAAATATTTTTTCGAAATTCCATCCTCAATGTTCGATCATTTGGAATTCTTGACTTTCGAGTTTTATTCGGCATTTAATTATCCAAAAGTTTCAAATTTCGAATTGACACTCGTTCAACCGATATTTTTAATTATAATAGTGTTCAATGATGGTTTTTGAAAATTTCAGTTTGAATTCACTCGCTATTCGTTTTTTAGGTGAGAAATTTTGAATTTTTCGGACTGTGCTATGCAACTCAATTTAGTGATGCATACCATGTGTAGCTAATGTGTATTGCTTTGTGTGCATAATTGCAAGAGCTAATAAAGTCTACAAAGTTAAGCTTCTCATCAATTTTGGAGTTATTAACGTTTGAACATTAGATTGGCTTTTGTGTGTGAGCAGCAAGCTAAAAAAGATCCATATGCCTTTTTGTAGAGGTGCAGTTTGGAGCACATGATTGACTTTGTGTTTGAAGAATAGACAAGGAAGGACAAGAAAGAAATAAACAATTGCGCGAAAGTGAATACCCTAATTTCCGGGGTATAAGGCGCACCTTGTATAAGACGCACCCGTCGCAGCAAACAACGGCGCAAAAATGCTTTCTGAACTCCCCTCAAAATCTAGCAAGCTGAGGACTCAGTGTGCTATAATTGTTCTTACTGCCCATGAATCATGTTCTCAAATACTTTTTTACTCTTTCCAGAATGTAGACTTCAATATGGTTTTTACAGACGGGAGAAGGGTGTTCACAGTGGTGTTTATGGTGTTTAGATAATTCTTTCTTTTGTTTTTGATGATGTCACCGGTGCCACGTTTGTGCTTTCCTTCGTTTCTAATAATGCTTCTGGTACTGCTTTCCTTTACAATGGCACTGCTGGAATTTGAAGGTGCTGTTTTTGTTTTTCTTATTATTCTCAAGAAGTAAGAGAGAAAAAAGAGGCTTGTTCTGAAACAGATCACTACTGAGGGGAAAACAAAAAAGAACGGGAGGAAAAAGTACTACTGAGTGAAAGGGGTTGCTGTTGGTTGGTTATGCGATGCCGCGCATCGCGAACGTCATCACACATCAGTCCGCGCGCGGTGAAAGCTACTGCGCCTTATACCCCGGAAATTAGGGTAATTATGGAGTGCTCTAGGAACACTTAGCTTCACCACAAGCGCAAAGTTCGCATTTACGAGGTGAGGACCATACAGACTGGGTCAATGGCGTCTGATTTTTCCTTGAATTAGCATGATTTGTATGCATTTACTAGCCAAACTCATACTACTGAAAAAAAAATTTCAAGCAAAAGCTTTCACTCTTATTTTTTCCAGAAAGATCGGGTGATTGCGATAGAAAGACTTTTCGGTAATCAATAAAAATCCAAAATCGAAGTGAGACCAAACGATTTGCTTCTTGGAGAATTTTGCCATGGTATTAATGATAGTACGACGATTGAAAAGTTAACAGGTATATAACGTATAAAATCGTTCAGGTGAAGAAGCTTCTCTCAATGTAAATGCCATTTTCAGCGCAAGAGGCAGAGTTAGCACAGTCATCCGTTCTTGAGTTAAACTGACTCAAAGATAAAAGTTTATCTAAAACTCCTTTGCGGCTTTCATAGTCAAGTGGATAAAGTCTCGAAGAGGATAGAGAAATATTCACTAATGCTCACCTTTCAGTATGAAAGAACTAAATGGCGCAAGAGCCCCGTTCACAATATGAAGTAGTATACCAGTAATAAGCAACAGATAGTCTAACCATTGCGAATATCGCATCTGCATGCATAAATCAAGTCAACTTAAGTGGAATAAAACAAAGCACTCACAATATCAAGCAAACCATTTTCTGGCGATATCTTGCGTTTGATGCGATGTAAATGTGTCATTGCTTTTTTCTGCAAAACGTATAGCTTTAGTGAATGTGGCAATATTGACAGCATTAATGGTAGGCAGAGAATTTTGCGTCAAATCACCCTGAAAACAGCTGAACTGCATAAATTTCCGGCCCGCTTTTGCAAAAAGAATGGCTTAAGATGATAAAGATTGAAGAATAACAGGAGCTACTAAAAGTGACGTGAGGGCAGAGGAGAAAGTGCTGCGATTTTATAGCTTGCAATGCATCACAAGTGAACGATCAGTGCGGAGCGAAGGAGCATGTTTACAAAGTTGGAAATTTGCTACGAAGTGCTCCGTATCTCGATTTAACTTCCAGATCCCACACACTTATATTCACTGTTCTTATGACCAAGGTTTGACCACAAGGTCCCACAACGACTATGCATTTTTAGCTTTGATAGCCTCTGCTTCCGTCCTTGAAACAAAGGCTTGGGAACGCCTGTTTTTGTCACGTGCTTTACAAGCTCCACTGACATGAGATCAACGAGAAAAACAAGCCCAATGAATAGAGAATCCCAGATTGAGCTTCTCCAAGGTGCTTGAGCTAGCATCATTTTGCTTTGCCAAATGGAATGGCAGGTGCAAATCACTGTCTGGATAAGAAAGAATGGAGAGCGCTAGTCCCACGTGTACAATCATTTAATCACGTCACGTTTTAGTGACGTACACAAACACGTAGTCTGAACCTTTTGCTGATGCTTCTCTGTTAGATGGTCACTTACAATTAGTCAAAAATAAGACAATACTTTCACAATTTTATTTCACGAATGGATGGAAGGATGGGTTAAAATGCAAATTATGAGCTAAGTCAAGCGCACGGCAAGCTGTTGAAATGCGTATCACAAGGTGCGCGTAAAATGTTGGATTCGGATCCTTCATATATGCTAAACAACTTTCTAAGAGAAGTTGTGAGCGCTTGAAAGTCAGAATTTGTGGATATTCAATGCCATACTTTTGGCAAGCAATTCGAGATTACGATATTCAATTTCCAGAAGCTAAAACTTTTTCTTATCTCAAACTGACGTTCGGTATCCTTTATTATGGAACAAGAACAAGTTTACAGGTTTGAGCTTTAATGAAAGGTAAGGAAGATCTGAAGCCAAAATTTAAGAACACTTTCGATACTATATGCCTTTTTCCGACTAGACGGGATTTGGCGTTCTTCCCTTGTCAATACATCAGTTCTTGTCCTATTTTGGGCTGTGTACGTATGCAGAATAGATGCCATGTACTTACAGCAATGTGATTGTATTTCAGAAAATCAAATTCTCAAGTTTTCACGCAACAAAACTGAACAGTGCTTCATACATCAGGGCTCGGCAAGAGATTGCTCTACCAAACTTTGAGAACAAGTCTCCTATGACTTTGCAACAAAACTAGGATATCTATGACAAGCTCATGGATAAATCACACATCTCTATATATATAAAGCAGAAAGTATGTGTGTCTGTGTGTGAGTGCACATGTTCTGGTAAACCTATAAACGGCATTGTCCGTACACCGATTACGCTGAAATTTTGCGCATATATTTCGACACTGGCGATCACTAAAGGCTGCTTTTGCGGCAATTTACTGGATTCTCAGATTAATTTGTCGATTTGTTCCCTTACCTCTAGTGAAAGCTTATCGTAATTTGACCGAGTACCTTCCCTCAGCCATTCAAGACAAGCGGTAAAGCTCATATTAACTCTGAAGTTGGCAGGAAGATGCGAGAATGCTTGTTGAAGGAAGGTGTTTGTGCTTGAAAGTATGGGGTATGGGTGCTGGCGAGAAGACGTGGATTGGAGCGGCACAGGTAAATATTGAGAATATTGAGTATAATTGCGACGAAGTGGAGAGTTTTATCATATGATGCTTATAGGAACCGAGCAAAACGGCATTTTATTTAGCTAATAAAGAAGAATAGAGCAAAGTACAAATACAACATTGAACAGATGACGAAAAACGTGATGCTCGCATTCTCCGAAATGGCGGTATGCTGTCTTCGACGCGCACCACGGCGCGCTTGAAGCAGGAATCACCAACCTTCAGTCGCTATTCAGAAGTCTGGAGGACTGTGGCTGGTTGAGGAGAGGGGGGGAGGGGGGATTGATGAGGTATGATAATCAGCCTGTACGGTTTTGGATCTGATTATGTAGATATCTCAGGTAGCTCTCCGTATTTATCAACGAACCCTCAAGGGCAGGTTTTAGGCCCCGAACAGACTTCACGCGATTTGATCGTCGCGACTCAATCGCCGACATTTCCATCCATTTTCATTTCACATTCAAAAATTTCGGGCTGGAAAAGTATCACAACCGAAATGCAAGTTGATCGGCATGGAATGATGTTGTAACAGTTGTCTCGTCGCGATTCAGTCACGACGATCAAATCGCGTGAAGTCTGTCCGGGGCCTTACCCTCAAGGTTCATCGGCAGTATTCATCAGCGAATCCTTGAGTGGTGGGTGGGGTTTACTCCGGAAAGCGAATAATCCGTATCGATCAACGAACCCTGAGAGTAATTCTAACCCTTGAGGCTTAATCTTACCCTAGAGAGTAAACCTTAACAATGAGAGCGATTTACTCATATTCACGAACGTGTCTCATCTGGGTAAATTCAACCCTAACACAGAGCAGGATTAGATTCATTCTGACACTTCAACAAACATCAGAAGTGATCTCTCGATGCACTACTCGGTCCTAGCGTATTGTTTTGACAACAAACACATATTGCTACTATCTCAAACTTTTTATGGACTCCTTTTTGTGCTATCGGATTGATGCTATCATCCGATATTAGACCGAGTTGCTGCAGTAAAAAATTTAGTTTTGAACAAAGTAAATGTCCAACTAAGGACCGCACATCAAGCTCAATAACTTAGATATCAGGTTGTCCGGAAATTAATGCCCGTTTTGAATTTCAACCGCAATAAGTCTTACATTTCTCATTTCAAAATAGGTTGCAAAACACCATTCGAAAGAACAAAGCAAGCTCTACAAGAAGGCTCCCTTGCTTTCGCAACAGCTCTCATTCACCTCGAGTTTCGAGCCAAAAACTAGAAAGACTCAGCTGCCCGAAAAGTCGAAAAAAATCGTAAATCGTTCATAATAATCCTAAAAAAATTCTTACTTGCTCGCGTAAACCCTATCCACATAAAACATCTATATACGCCTTTGCCGTATTTCTTCCTCTTTTAGAAATCAAGAAAACGGAAATTTTTGTGCATTTGCCAAAGTGATGCTCTACCGTCGCCACATAGGTAGTTGTGTACCACAAGCCTGTAGAAGTACAGACTTAAATTTCCAGCTCTCTAAAAGCTTTAGTTCTCGAGAAATTTAAGTTTTAGCTTGGACCGCTTAATTAGGGAAAGCTATATTCGGTATTTCTCGAGAACTAAAGCTTGTAGAGAGCTGAAAATTTGAGTCTGTACCTCTACGGGCTTGTGATATACAACTAGCTATGTTTGGACGGCACAGCATCACTTTGGCAAATGCACGAAAATTTCAGTTTCCTTGATTTCTAACAGAGGAAAAAATACGGTAAAGGCGTATATAGATGTTTTATGTGGATAGTGTTCACGCGAGCAAGTAAGAACTTTTGTAGGATTTTTATGAACGATTTACGATTTTTTTCGACTTTTCGGGCAGCTGAGTCTTTCTAGTTTTTGGCTCAAAACTCGAGGTGAATGAGAGCTGTTGCTAAGGCAAGGGAGCTATCTTGTAGACTTGCTTTGTTCTTTCGAATGGTGTTTTGCAACCTATTTAGAAATGAGAAGTGTATGACTTATTGCGATTGAAATTCAAAACGGGCATTAATTTCCGGACAACCTAATAGCATTTGTTGTCTAACAAATGCTCAGCTGAGGCTCCCTCAATAAATTTTGGTAAACTACTAGCTGGATTACCCGCCTCCGCCCGGCCCCTGTCAAAACACTATGTCAAAGAACACTATCCCTATTCCTATACGCCTTTCCCTGTGCCCACGCCTATACACCAAATCACTATTCCCGCTGTTTTAGTAATCAGCATGCTCGATTACCCCTGCCCCCTGTGCCGACTCCCAGCCCCGTGCCCAAACTTTGCAAAAAATCGATAAAATCGATAAAAGTAGTGGACGCTCTTAAAACTAATAATGTATTCGTAATCAGCATGCTCGATTACCCCCCTGTGCAAACTCTCAGCCCCACAGGTCAAACTTTGGAAAAAAAATTGATAAAATCGATAAAAGTAATCGATAATCATGAAAACTAATATTGTAATCGGAATCCCCATGCTCGATTACCCCCCCCCCCCCCCGTGCCAACCCCCACCACAGGTCAAGCTTTACAAAAAATCGATAAAATCGATAAAAGTAATCGATAATCATGAAAACTAATATTGTAATCGGAATCCCCATGCTCGATTACCCCCCTGTGCCAACTCCCAGCCCCGTAGGTGAACCCTGCAAAAAATCGATAAAAATCGATAAAATCGATATTGATCGATGACGAAAAGTAGCCTATGACACCCGCCCCGCTCCGAAGTGTATGTGTGCCAAGTTTGGTCCGGATCGGTTCAGAAATGGAATTTTCTATTCGAAACATACGTACAGACAGACAGACAGGCATAGAGACATACAGACATACAGACAAACAGACATTTAGCTTTATATATAAGATTAACGATCTTTTACTCGATCATATTGTCGTAACTCAAAAGATTACACTTGGATTTGAACAATAAAATACTTTAAGATCTCACAGATAAGTTCTCCCATCAGATAAGTCCGCCTTCAAATAGGTCCGCTTTTTTGACTCAGTTGAGGCCCTTTAGATAAGTCCGCCTACAGATAAGTCCGTTTCCTTTCCATTATAACTATCCTGAAATCTTGTCAGATAAGTCCAGACTTAATAGACGGACTTATGTGAGGGGAGAGCTTATCTGCAAGATTCTTGGCGGTGCGGGGGTACATTTTCATCGATTTTTTTGGTTAAAAAAGCGGACTTATCTTTAAGATTTCAGGTTACTAAA